AGGTTATTTTTACTTTATGGGATTTCCTTTGAGCAGCCTGCATGTAAATAGGGAAAAAAGGTAAAAACCACTCACCCTGGCCTCCTTTTCCTCTCCCCTCTCAAGCAAAAACAAATTGCAAGCAAATGACAGATGTGAAATTAAGAATATAATATTCACTACGAGAGGCACTATTAAAGATAGATTAGAAATTGTTATTCTTGGTCCCCTTTGTGCACAAGTTGTGACTTGATGACATAATGACAAGTCTTCCACAGCTTATCAATAAAACATTAACACAAAGAACAAATTATTTCCATTGTTAACGTGGGTTATATCTTCATAGTGTTAAGTATTCTGATAGCACTGAACAAAAGGCCACTATCTTTCCTGAAGACCTGAACTAAGCCCCTGAAATTTTCTCTGTATGTTTGTACAATATGTTTTCCTGACTTCTCATGTGATTTTCTTGTTTCCACAGTTTTCTAYGCTCTGAAATCCACTTAGCAGAAATGGCAAAACTGCTGCCATTCTAAAAGGCATTGACACTTCAACAGGCCAGACATGGAGTAATCCTCAATGATTTTAAATTGAAAGAGAAGAGATTTAGATTGGACATAAAGAAAGAAAATTTTTATAATGATGGTGTGAAGTGTGCTGGTCAGATTGGATGCAATTTTTTTTTCCTTGTTTAATGTTACAAAAATAAGGGCAAACTCACAATTTGATTTGTTTTCTTACATTGCTTTCCACACTAGGAAATAATATTTCTCCTTGGGACAATAAAGAGTTATGAGTGCTCTTCCCCAGAAGAGTTGCATGCAAAGAAGTTTGGTCAGCTCCATGTTTTGGACTAATGATTATATATATATATAATGCAGATTATATGTATATGTGTAAATATATAGAATTTCATCAATTATTAATAGGAATTTGAACCTGATGTTCATCAATTAATAGTAAGAGAAAACTGAAAAATTCAAACACTGAAGTAAATCTACAAAATTATTGATATTACAAGCCCCACTGAAAATTTCTGAGGGACTGTGAAATGTGATATAAGATCTAAAACTTGTAAATTTTTCTGTAGTTCTGATGCTTTTTATGTAGGAAATGAAATTTCAAATTTTATTACTTAAAGGATATTACAGCTAAAAAGGAAGTCTAGTAAGTCATTATCTTGTCTTAAACTGGTACAAAGGGTATTTAGTTTACTATAAGTCCTCCTGTATTATACATGTATGAAATATACTTATTACCACTAGAAATGCCTGGAAGAAAAACATTTTGTTCTGAAACATCACAAATTGCCACAGTGGACTCTTTTTGTTTGAAACAGAACTCAAAACTATAAAAATTGTTTGAAGAATGGAATTGAAGAAATAATTTATTTTACTACAAGAATTTTGAGTCTTTCATTGCAGAAATGGTTGGTGGGGTGAGGGTGGTCAATCCCTTCTCTTCTCACAAAAGTAACTGCAAGAAACAACAAGAATTGAAGAAATACTCGAAGAGTGAATTTTGTGATGCCGTTTCACTAATTGCATAGCTGATCATCAGAATCCCCAAAGARCGATTGCTGTCTCATCTCACTGAGGAACGAAAAGGAGGAGTAGAGAGAGTGAAAAAGCAGAGCAGCCCGTATGAAAGGAAGGTTGTTTTATATTTGTGTTCACAGAACGAGGTGACATTCTATATTCATACCAAATGTATCATTCTAATTTTCAATTAATATTCAATTATTTTCTAAGCTAACACCTGATGGATAAAAATATTAAAATTATGACAGTGGATTTTTCTGTTTACTTTTCTTAACCAATTGTAAAATAGGAAAATATCATATGCATTTAATATCTATTTAATTGCAACTTTATCTTTTATTATTTATTTTCTCCTGATTTTGGCCCTTATTTTTCAAATTTAAATGAAGAAATTTTTATATTTGAAGAGATAAGTAGGGTTTTATATGTGACAGTCAGAATACTAGAATTTTTAGTAATGATACCAAATATAGCATTAATAGTTAACCATGTACTTAAACAGTCTATTTGCATTTTTAAATTTCATAAGAGTCACAATGTAGAAAAAGCAAAACTAATCTTTATAAAACCATCATAAAATTATTACATTAGACTCCTTTATGTATTACTTATGTTTTGCAGTATCAAAGATCTATAACCATCTTTGTTTAGAGAGATAAACATTTAGTTTACAGATGAGACAAAAAGGGAATAACTCTGTTGGGGTAAAGAAAGTAATTTTTTTTAATAATTTGTTTTGTAATATCACTTAAGGTCTCTTAAAACAGACATGTAGGTCTGTGATTTATATCATGACAAAAAGGACACTACAGTGCCCAAAAGGAGTGAGATACAGAATTTTTGCATTTTCCCCCTATCATCATTTCCTTTTCTGTGTCATCAGAAACTTGAATTAATGGAGAAAGCAAAGAGAGTGAAATTTATCCAAAATGTTAAAATAGAATCTTTATTCCTTCTTCTGAGCAGAAACTATTTCAGATACAATTATTCCAAGGAAAATAAAAGCAAACACTATTCATCATCAATATAAGTAGGTTACCATGGACAGAATCTTATTTTTCCTCTTCAAACATTTATCTAAAGAAAAGACGTGCAAGTAAATTTGTCAAGGATGAAAATAAATACAGATCAAGTAAAGAGACGAGGATACTCAACAGTGGGGTTTTTTCATACTAAAACAAGTACCCCATGTAATTAAAAGGAATCATTTATAAAGAATTTATTTTTAACTTGAATTTTTCCAAATTAAAAAAAATTTCATCCTTTCTTGTAGATTATATCCTTTGCAGAGGAAGTGAAACTCTAGATTAATAAAGCTGCAAAATTTTAATAAACATGTGTATTTTGGGACCATTTTTATTACTTGTTAGCAGTGGTATTTGACAGAGGTGCTTGATTTTGTCTCAGAAAACTGCCTTCCTTTCATTCAAATGATTTAGCTCTAAATTCACCTTTTCCTCATCCAGCTACACCCGCTGTTCTCATTGATGTCACATTTAACACTCTGGTGTAAAACATCTGATGGAACAGCAACAAATGTCACCATTGTTTAATGGCAGCTGGAACAAAGCTTTCCTGACAAAATTAAGATTCTGAGGCTTATTAGGAGCTGGTGTGAGCCAAGGGAGCTGTTGCATTTGGGTTTCTGCCAGAGCATTCAATTAAAGGGCCTACAGTTTCATACCTATAGAGTTCAAAACTTTCAAAAGGGAATCTGASTTTCAAGGGGTTTTCAAGTGCCTTTCTTTGCTGCTTTGAATTTTTGGCTGATAACTCCACCTTTCCCTAGGAGTTGGTGTATGGGCACCATTGTTTATGCACTCCCAAAGTTGGCGTCCCCCACTCAGAAAATAAACTGAATACTTGAATTTGAGGGATTTACTATTTATAGTGATTATTTKTTGGTATGTGGTAAACAAATGACCTACTTACATAGGGAGGGAAGAGGAGATATCTCAGATGTTTGATTAGCTCATACACTTAGAAGAAAACTTTGACTGGCAGAGACCATCTTTGGTCCTAGAATCTAACAATTTCTATTCACCAGAAATCTCTGAAAATCCTGTAAGAGCTGACAAGAAGCACTGGTTAGAGACAGAGAAAATTGTGAGGGCAACACATGTATTTTGACCAGAAAATTATTAAAAYYTTCTATCTTATTTTTAGATTTTTGTGAAAAAAATCCATTCTCAAGTGAATCTAAACACTTCCTTTGAAGTTTTGAGGTGACCTACAAAACTTTAGGCATGTGGTGTAGAAGCAGTGAAACACTAACTTTATGGGGTATAGGGAACACAATATAGTAAATATAGAAGCTGCAAATTTAATATTGTTACACTGCTGGTAGACAGCCCAAAACTGAGAGGCTGTTCTAATACACATCTCAGAAATATTTCAAATATATTCAAATATATTCAAATGTTATGCACTTAAAAGAAAAATTGGAAAGAGAAAGAAAGATTGGAAAGAGAAAGCTAGGAAAGAGAAAGAAAGATTGGAAAGAGATCAGCTCTTGGCAACTTAGAAACAGAACACAACTTGCTCTCTTCTAAACTATGAAGTGTCGTAGGTTGTGACACAGCAAGATCCATTTTAAGATATACAATGCACAATAATGAACATCAGATCTTGATCTMTTTCTTCAGAACAACCAAACTTAYATCTCATGCCCCTAAAAAATGACCRTGAGAAACAAAATTACATCSTTCACTTWCGTTTAAATTTAGAGCAGATTTAAGTTGATATTCAGCAAATATTACTCCAGACTGATATCCCCTCAAGCATGTAAGGTGCCCCCTGTTTCTCAAACTGATTGTGATTTGCATAATTTAGTTACCTCAGGATGTGATAAAGAWAATGCTAGTTAATTTTATTTTATATTAATGTTCTTGAGTTCTTAAAATTGWTGAATGAATGCTTCAGGGGAAACAACCATCAAGAGCACCCTTCAGCACTCAAGGTGAATGTCAAAAATGTGAATCAATCATAGCTTTCCTCAGTACTTTCTAGTTCTTTGTTTGAAGGGGACAAATATGTCCGGCATGACTCCTATCTTTAGTATAGATATTTTAATTTTTTTTTTTATAGGAAGAGTATAGTCCCCAGAAGAGCAAGAACATACATTCCTCTCAGTCCATCATTACACTGTACTTCTGTCAGTAAAATCAAAGATAGCACATTGACCCAAAGCAACTGGCAGACTGTAAATGCTCTTTTTWAAAAATAAACTTGTGGTGAATGATCATGTTTTACCAAGTTAAAGAAATATAACTGCTTTGGATAAAGGAGATTGCATTCCATTTACCCTCAGATGTAACTCATCATACRCATTTAAGTTTAAAATGATCCTTCTGTTTCATCACTAATTATATTCAGTGGAATCATGACTGGCTGTAGCAATTCTGTGCTCTTTCCATTCRGGGATGAATTGGCAAATCATTTTTTCCGTGGTGTAAGTAAACTATTGTGGAGAGTACTTACTACAGCTGTCTTGGTCCAATCCATCCCTGCCATCATCCACAAGATCACAGACCAATGAATTGTCAACGCAAACTTTTGTSTCTCTGCACCAGGAGTGATTTGGACCTTCACAACTTCATGCTGGAGGTGGGAGAGCACAGTTTTCAAATCTAATGTCATCAGTTGCTGAGATGCCCCGATAAAAACCCAGGCTGATCTTATCAACTGGCAATTGGAAAGCAACTGACTGTCCATAATTGTAATACCTAAAATGACAAAAATAARAATATTAACTGGGCAAATGATGAAAACAGACCGCATCAGTTATAATGACCAGTATCTTTTCTTTTCCTTCTCTGTGAAATGTAGGAAGCCCACAGTGCCTGTAACTCAATCTGTTTTCAGAATGACTTTAGGGTGGGCTGCTCTGTCAGTCTAGGCCTCATTTCAAGAATTGAAGATGCTGAGTGAAAAAGCATTCTTCATTAAATTTAAACCCATAACTGAAGAGACACAKTTGCTTTCCTATTATGCAACAAACACTGCTCACTCAGATGCATAATGTCTTTTCATAAATTTAATTCAGTACATGACTGTAAAGTTTCAAGAAGGAAAAACAGAACACTGACTGAATACATAAGTACGCCTTCTGTCTATGTTAGTTCTTGCTAACCTGCCACCTTTTACTGCATTTAAAACCATTAAATACTTATTTGGCAATTGTACAATAAAACTGGGAGTGAAAGGAGATGTACAACCAAGAATTTGCAATGTCCARCTTCAAGTCATGAATCTTGGATAAAAAGACAGTTCCACTTCCTATGGCAGGTGTATTTTACATTACTGAGACAAACTGCACATAAAAACATCAAATTTGGACCAAACCTATATTTAAACAGTAGCCCTAATTTGGCCTCAGTAAACAAATTATCAGTTATAATTTTTTCTGTCTATCTTTGACAAGTTTGCACAAAGACTGAGACAAGACAATTGCTGAAATTTTTTGTTTGGGTTTGATTCTTGATTTTTGGTTGTGGGTTTTTGGGGTTGTCATTTTCCATGTATATAAAAAAAGAAGTGGAAGTAAGAACCAAAGGTTTTTAGATAATTCATGGCTTCCAATTAAAACCTGGTTAAAGAGCAGAGAGCAGGTTTATCTATTCCACTTCTCTGTTTCTAGGCCTGTATTTATTCAGGCCTATTTATTCAGGCCTATATATTAACCTATATCAGGTTTATTGTAGGTGTGATCCCACAGAGTAGCTTGCTTCTGAAATGCAGGTGGAAGAGCACTGCTGGAACTTCTTACCCACTCAAATCCATCTGCATTTACAGTTTCAATCCAGCCACAGCTCTCTCTCTCAAAGTCACATACAGCAGCTGGCAAAAAGAAGAGGTATTTTAATTAATTTAATTACATGACATTACTAAACAAGCGTTGCAGTATGAAAAGTAAATAAAACATTTTTAATATGTCACCAGTATTCCAGAATTAAGTCTAGGAAAGGRGCATGGAGAGGCAGAGAGTGGCTTCATTCCAAACATAAGGCATTTGCTCAGTAACAGCTGAGTAAAAGAGCAGTCACAGAGGAGCAGCCAAGCCATGGCCATGTGAAACAGCCCCTGCTCTCTTGGGGAGCTTCAGCCAAAGCACTCAAAGCAGGCGAGGAGGTGCTGAAAACAGACCTCACTCTCCTCCTGGTACACCGCAAGAACATCGGGCACACAAAGCAGAAACAAACATTTTGCGAGATCTTTATTTGTTGTTGGAGGCAGAAATYAAATCCCTTTTTTCCTAAATGTCAGCAAGTATGCTAATGATAACAAAACCCTTCCTCTGTGAATAATTGGAATAAAGTTAAATATCAGGCATAGACACTATGATACTGGTAATCCCTGAAACACATGAAGTGAAAAATATCTGAAAAGCATATTCAGCTGCATTCTTCAATTGAAAGAGCAGTGATATTTTACAAAATACGTACATTATAAATAAARAAAAAAAAAAAGGAGAGGAAGGGTGTCATTTATGAATGAACGTAAATCGACTAACATTGATTATGTTATAATGAAGAAACAGAATCATGACATGGTCAGGGATGGAAGGGATCTTAAAGATCATCCAGTTCCAACACCCTGCCATGGTCAGGGACAGCTCCCACTAGACCAAGSTGCTCAGAGCCCATCCAGCCTGGCCTTGAACACTTCCAGGGATGGAGCATCCACAGATTCCCTGGACAACCTGTCCAGTGACTCACCACTCCTACAGTAAAGAATTTCCTCTTTACATCAGTTCTTCTTCTTCTGCATTTTATAAAAAAATCTTCATTAAATCACAGATTTATATTTATTATTCCTGCAAATATAACGGGTTTTTAATGGAAAACATTAAGAGAATTACTTAAAGATTTTAAACAATAATTTACTAACCATACACATAGAATAAATACATCAAATATTCAGGTATGACTGTCAGAATTCTGTCATTATTTTATAACTCTTATCACAGCTTTCAGTGGCCATATTATACTATGGTCACAGTATGGTATGTAGAATATGCACATATGAGGATCATTTGAAGTCTCCTGAGGAATAAGATAACATCAGTGTTTATTTATGGAAAATATGGGAGATTTTTAAATTGCTGTGTTTGATTTTGGTTTTTTTTTTATTTTCCTCTTGAGAAACTATGTTACACTGTTATACATWATATTTTAGGAAAAATGAAAAATTACTAATGAGGCCTGTTAATAATATTGATATGTCTTCTAAAAAGACAAACTTTTGTGAATTATTAAGCAAAGCACTTAAAATTCCACAGTGAGCTTAAAAAAAAACCATTCTGCAAATATGGAAGAACAAATCACGTTTAAGAGAGCAAAGAAAATATCAGTTTGCTCTACATATGGTGTATGTGGGTCAGAAATGCCAATGATAAAATGATGCAAATCAAATGTGACTAAAAAACAGAAGGAAGAAATTTTTTGACAGAATGTTTTGATAGAATAAAATGAAGATAAAATATATCTGCAAATAGTCAAGGACCTAGGCATGAGAGAAATGACTGAAAATCCCCTGAGAGAATAAAATGAGAATGGAATATGGGCAGCTATTTTTGATCTGCTTTTTACTCGATAGAAGAAACCATCCCATATTCCCAGGAGAACTGCAWCAAAGACTATGACAGACCTTGGACACAGATGGTTACACCAAATGAGGCAAATAAACAAGATAAAACTGTTAAGTCTGAGCCCAGACTTCTTGCATCTGTAACTTGTAACACAGACAAAACACAAAAGAAAGGATGCACCAGACCATTTAGCTTAAGCATGGATGAGTACWCTGAGATAAAATAACCCTGAAACCTTCAACTAAATGTCAAACCAGCTATTCAACACCTAGGGAAAATACAAGAATAGAGCAAGCTAGTAGASCCCGGGTGAAATGCACTTGGATCTTGATGCTTGATAACACTTCAATTATCCAATTGTCTTCTCCCATAACTTCTTTGACTGGCACTTCCATTTCAGACAGATTGTTCAGAAAAGAAGGCTCTTGCTTGGGTACTTTTGTACTTTCTCTCACAATGAACTCTCACAAACTAATCTGTCTTCTCTCCTGAGACTTTCGCTTTTTCTTTTCACCTATTCTTTTTTTTTTTTTCCCTCACATGCTCTCTTTCTACTCTCACCATCATGTGAGCCAATAGAATCTGCCAAGCTGTCTTCTCCTCATGTGTTTGATGAATTTATTGCTACTGTTTCTTAAACTTGTTTTGCAATCCTTACCGTGTTTTTACATTTAACCTACCAAAATTTGTCATCTTTTATATATTTTTCATTTAGAAAATACTTCAACCATTTGATGCTTTTTGAATTCTTATGGTATCCATGCCACCTGTATGGACACATTGTTCTTTGCTGCCCCTTTTAGCATCTTTTTTAAGTCTCCCTCAGCAATCAAGAAGGAATCAGTAATACTGTGAGCACGGAATTTGAGAGTGGTTGGCTTTGTTGATGCTTTTGAGAAAGCTGCCTTTAAATCTTCAGCAAATTCAGTTTTCTGTGAGCTGACTTTTTATCACAAAACTATAGATTTCTTTCTAATTTTGGGTTCTCATGCAAARTGTTTTGTTCTTTTCTGTTTAGAGRARCTTTATTCAAARACCTCACAAATYAGATGAGCAGSTTCYCTGTTAGCTGAGTGATGCCTAACAGGAATTGAATTAACAGTATTTTAAAACAGTATTTTTAAAACAAATATTTAAGATATTAGCATTTGTTCAAGAATGGAAGTTCATAAATCTCTACAACTCCCAAAATCTCTCCCTCCTTGTCTTTCAGCACATGTAAGTTTATACAGAATGCACCATAAAAAAAAAAAAAATCCAGGTGAAGAGATGTCATCATTGTTACTGGCCTATAATATTTTCTTTTACTTAAAAGCTGTTTTTAAAGGCTCTGATATGCCAATAAACTTTCAACTATTTTTTTGATCAGTAATTTTAAGACAAATTGTTAGATTGCAGAAATAAAAACTGTCATCAAATCTAGCAACCAGTTCAACTCTGGACAGGGTTATCCTAAAAAACTATTTTAACCCTCTTTATAATATAAACACACTGAAAATATTACATCTGCATTCCTATTTTTATGTTTTCTATCCCAGCTACTATTTACAAATATCATTATATATACTCAGTCAAATAATAATGTACTTGGGTAGTTGTATTGGACTAGTGTCTACAGTGACAAACTGAATAGAGACCAATTAAAAATTACTGCAAAAGTTCATCAACGAGAAACAACTGGAGTGAACAAAGACAAAAGGCAAGTCACTACTTGAAGATGAAACAAGTTTGATCTTTACAAAATCAAAGGCAGAGTTCCCCCTTCCCTCACTTTCCATCTCCAAATATTATCTGCTACAATGCTGAAAAAAACTAACCACCCCCCTCAAAAAAAAACCAACAAAAACAAACCACCAAAACCATCAAAAACAAAAAAATCCACACATAAACATAAAGGTTTAGAACAAATAGATATGGTAGTCTTCTCTATAAATGGCTGCAGGCAAAAAGCATTCCAGAACATTTTCTTTTTCTAAATACTGTTGGGAAATCCATCTCAATAGCCATGACATTGCAACAGAACTGTTTGTGATTTCAGTTGTGTGGGCTTTTTAGTATTAAACAGACATGACTTTTACATAAAAGTGTGTATCACTTATGAAATGAGAAACAGCTCTGTATGTCGGGAAGAAAAAATGCGCAGAGTAAAAAGATTTTGTTATGAATAAATCWAGTGATTTCACTGTGCACCTACATTTTTAACAACTGCACAACCTGTCTCCTAAYTTAGCTGTAGGACTTGCAAAGATTGAGATTTTTACAGAAGGGAAATTAAATTCTAAAAAACTGAAGGGGGAGTTCCAGTTTTTACTGAACTATACAAAATTATGACCTAATGGTCACTATTCAGGCCATCTTGTTATTCACCCAGTATTCTCTGCCACTGAAGCTCATGCAATATTTGTTGTCATGGTTCATACTTTGCTGGAAACAAACTAGGAGCAACTATGCAATAATATATACATTTTGCMAAAAAAAAAAAAAAACAAAAGCTACATAGAGGTTTGCTGAAACAAAGTAGACAAATTAGACTTATGGCTTCTGGGTTCTGTAGAAATTCTGAAAGTATGTGTGGTCCCTGTCAGAAAAGTGCTCTTGCTCTTTCCTCAATGCTCTTTTCCACACTCTGTTTCCTGCTTCACCAAATACACAACTGCTTTTCTGTGACCCTTTATCTCAGTCCTMGTATCACTGGAAAACTGGAAATCCTCACTCTTTTACCACATTTCTCCAAGCTGCTCGCTGCCCTAGGTCCTCTCATGTAGTCTCTGTTCTCTGTCACTTAACGGCCATATTTTATTCTGACCCTTTCCAGAACATCGCCACTCCACATCCATATTCTTCATTCCCATTCTCTCCTTGTTTTTTCTCTCTCTTTCCTCACATTTAATCTTCCATTGTTGCTATCTCTCCTGATGCACATCACAGGCACTTTGAGCAGCTGGTCTGAGTCCATCCCCCGGAGCAGCCCAGGTCCCTCCTGCCCTGGTTTCCTCCAGCCCTGTGGTTCCTTCTCTCCTGCACCAGCAAGCTCAGGCAATGCAGCCTTTGCAGCCATTTCTTGCCCACTGTCAAAGGCGTTCTCCTTTCTCCGAAGATGGGATTTTAGTCCTGTCCTTTCCCCATTTAACTTCCATGAACTGATTCTTATGCCATTATCTATGCACTTCCAGTATTAAGTACCTTCTTCAATTTACAAGCTGACAAWCTTTTCACTCCTTAAACTAAAGCTCATCTTTCTGCTCTGCTTCTTGTCTCTGCTCTCACCTTTAAATATTACTGATTTGTCTGGCTGGAATGGAGTAGCAAGCATATGAGACAGACATTTTGGTATGCAAGATTTGACTCTAAAAATGAGATTTAGGAAGAGTTACTGTATAATTACTGCAGAAGTTTTATGCTTTGCCAAGATTAATAATGGAAATATGGGGAATTTTTCTTATAATAGTGAGGAGATTTTTATTATTTATGTGAAGGTAGCCATCAGAAACCAAATAATATATATTATTAAAGAGTTAAAGCCACAAAAGTAGTTTTTAAGAACCAACACATGCATCCTTCTCTTCACTTGCCTTCTAACTCAAATTAAGGTACTTAAAACTCTGTACAAACATATAGATTATACYCAGTTTATGAATTACTTAATTTAAGGCTAGCCTTAGCATGCTTGTGCTGCCCTAAATTGTATACTATAGAAATAATAACTATTAAATGCATCTTTCATTTAGACATAAATACAAAACAATACCATGTGTACATGTGTGCTGGTTTGGGCTGGGATGTTGTCAATTTTCTTCATGGTGTAGGGCTGCCTTTCGGATTTGTGCTGGAAACAGTGTTGATTATTATAGCATGTTTTAATTATCACTGAGCAGTGCTAATATCGAGCCAATGCCTGTCCTGCTCCTCACACTGTCTCACCAGTGAGGAGATTGGAAATGCACAAAAAGTTCGAAAGAGACACAGCCAGGACAGCTGACCCCAAATGAGCAAAGGGATATTTTATCCATATGATGTCATGCTCAGCAATAAATAGTGGGGGGAGTTCTGAGGGATGGTGTTGATCTTCCCAAGTYACTGTAATGTGTAATGGGGCCCTGTTCTCCTGGGATGGCTGAACACCTGCCTGCCCATAGGGAGRGGTMAATGAATTCCATGTTTTGCTTTGCTTGCGAGCATGGCTTTGGTTTCCCCTGTTAAACTGTTTTTATCTCAACCCACRAATTTTCTCACTTTTACCCATCTGATTCTCTCCCCCATGCTACCAGGGGAGTGAATGAGCAGTTATGTGGGGCAAAGCTGCCAGCTGGAGCTCAACCATGGCAGCTCCTTTTGGCACATGGAGTTTTAAGGATTTGAGATAATGAGAAGTTTGATTGGAATGTGTTGGATCAAATTTATAGCCCTCATTGATTTTTAGCCATTAATTGGCGCCCTCCTGTGCTTGCCATAGGGTCTTCTTTCCTGACTCTATTAGAGCCTAGTGCTCGTTGGTGGCAGCATTTTGCTTTCCCTGCTTGCTGCCCTGCTTTTCATCTTACTCTACTGTGCCTGGGAGTGTTTTGATAACACAGGAGATGTCCCTGCTGGCAGGTGGCCAGGTCATTGCTGCTGCTGAACTGCAAGGAACAGGCTGGAACTCCAGTGTGGGCTCCGGTCAAAGGGGCTGTGACCTGTGGGTGAGGCCACATGAGATCAGGACACCCTGGAGTGGCTGAGGCTGACAAAAAGCCCATGCCAGAGCAGGTACATCTTCAAACACCTGTGGCCATGGTTATGTCTCTGCTGCAACAGGTGTAACTCGGAAGGGTAAGTTCCAGCTGGAGAAAGTACACCTCAAATTATCTGTGGCTGTGGGTAAGTCAGTGCTGCAACAGGTATACCTGTTGTGTGCATGAGGAGTACCTCAAAGCATGGATAAACCTCTGGAAATATGCTATCTTTTATATAAATGTAAATTATTTCATATTTGTTTTATATAGAAACCCACATAATTATACCATCATCCCCACCATAAGTAGACAGAGAAAAAAAAAAAAAAAGCCAGACACAAAAGACAGAGCATAACGGGGAAATTAGCAAAGGTCAGACGGAATATCAGGAATACATTTGTGTTACAAGATTGCTTTCCAACCTGATCTTATTCTTACTCCACCAACATAAATCTTATGGTGCAAAAGTGAACATTTAGACTCCACCAAAGGCATAGGCTGTAGACCATAGAACCCCTGCTGCACATTCATCTTCCAGAGCACAAGCACACAATGTGACAGATATGTTAGGTCACYGCTGTAAATCTGCAGTTTGAAAAAGACTGTCGCTTTTCTCTTCTGCTTTAATGCATGGAAGTCAAGTCTAAAAGCTTTATGGCCACAGTAAATTCTTCATCTGTAGAAGAAAAGTTGTGATGTAATAGTCAGGGGGAGCAACACTCAAGAAAGRAAACATTCTGGCAATCCCAGAAGTGGTAATCTTCAACTGAATTCTTCAAGGCCTGACAGAGAAAAAAGGCACTCATTTGAGCAGAAGTGAAAATTGAGACATGTCTCAAGGATTGATATTGAGAGTCAAGAAAATGGTATGGAGACCTTGCTTCTTCAGTGGACTTAGTGCACTCAAGCATCTAACTAAATCACCTTGCTGGAATTTGAGATTATAATATTTAAATGAAACGTATTTTGAAAGACATTTTAARCCCATGTAATATCATTGCCTGGTTCTCCTACAAAGACGAAAAACATTAACAARGTTAAGGTGCATASAATCAATAKTAGACGGAACACCATGGAAAAAAARTTTAATATTGATGAAAGGAACAATGTAGGTGGAAAAGGTGAACAAAAATGTGTGCTTAGCCATGTAGAGAAATTAGGAAAAGTGTCTGGGAAATATTAAATGCTTGCATTCAAGTGCAAGAATGCCCAAAGAAAATATAGAAAGCAATGGTGTGCTGCATAAGCATGAAGATGATGAATTACAATTTGAAAAGAATCGTAAGAGCTATTCTACTGCTGTAGACTGCCAGACTAATGTGCTGAAAGACAAGTTTATTGCTTGGAAACAGTCAACTTGCCAAACTGCTTGCAGGCCCTTTGTGTACCTACATTCTTCTTGCCACATTACAAGCTGTAGCGCTAGCGCACCCTGAGCCAGCTCAGCAGCAACAGAGATTTATTACTCAGCAATATACTTAGAGCAAGGATCACCATAAATATAATGGTTCCAAAGTTTAACCTTTAGCATGGCGTTGGTAATGTATTGTCTTTACAAACGAGACTTGGGTGTAATAAAAGTTTCTTCAGTCATATAATAGGAGGGAAGAGAAAGAGAAAATCAGTTGCCATATAGGCAACTTGTAATTAAGGCTAGTCTAGGACTGGTTAAACACCTAGCTGGACATTTGTCTTCACCTAAAGGTATAATAGTGAAATGGAAACACAAGCTGAATAGTTAAAAAGAAATATAAATGGTCACAAAATCCAGCAGATCTTAATTTTCTTGATTAAAAGCCACCAGTTCAGTTATCCCAGTGCAGTTAAAGTGGCATGCAGTTAAATCTACTTAGAATGTTTTTAATTAAGATATTGATTTGGAAGTCTTATTATTTTCTCAGAGAATACACACTACCTGAATTAAAAAAGGGTAATGAGAGAACAATCCTGACTATCATAACCCAATGCTGCCTAAGGTGTGTGAGCATAAATAAAATAGAAAACACATAAATAAATTAAAAAAAATGATGGAGTGTTATAAGAGTTTTTATATGAGTAACATGGGCAGGGAGGGAATAATTAAAAGTTAAAACTCTTCTCAGTAGTGAAATGGAAAGAAGTAACAGGCACTTGTTTGRCTGTGAGAGTGATCAAACCCTGGAACAGYGTGTCCTGACTGGCTGGGTACTCTYCATCCTCACAGATATTCAGCACCYRAYTCTKTCRGGCTCTGGACATTCTGCTCTGGTGGCTCTGCTTTGAGCACGGTGGGTTTGGCTGCTCAGTGATCTTCAGATATCCCTTCCAACCTCAACTGTGCTACAGGATCAGAATTTTCTTTATTCTGATCCACAAGAGGAAAGTTATTTTGCTCAGTGAACATTTAATAGTTTTGTTTTTTTCTGATTTCTGTTATCTAATAAAACAAAATTCAGTTTTATAGCTCAAAGTTCTGTATATTTTGGATACCAATCTATCTAAACACTTAAAACCCTCATTACTAATGCTCTAGCTAAGAAAAATTCAATACTAAAATAGTGAAGAAATTGTATTAATACTAACAGAAGCTGTAATTATTTATTTTACCTGCTAATAGTCAAATGGATTTTTGTTTATCTGARCTACAACTCTCAAATCTCCAAATAAAAACCATAAAAAATATGCAKTGAATTTGGATTATATTAGCATCTCTGAAGAACTTTATGCTTTTTGATGCATAACATGGCACAAAAAGTAATTTGAGGATCTTGTACAATATTTCTGTCATTTGTGTGAGAAATGCACACAATCATGCTGTGTCTTTAAAAATCAAGCTTGCATTAAATATTGCTTATAGCAACTTGTTTTGAAAATGCATCACAAGTTCTACAGCAAAGCTGATAGTTCAAAGCAAGACTCATTTTCAAAAGTGCAAAGTATAGCTGTGATTTTTTTTTGTTCAAAGCAAGAAAATGAATGAATCAAAAATACTTTTGAAGCTACATATTAGAGACCCTGAAACTTTTCCAAGCTCCCTGCTGACTGTGCAGAGGAGAGGGACTCTGAGATGCATCACTCCCTCTACTTTCCCATGTGTTTGTTTCCATGCAGAGAAAGCCCAGGCATGAGGCCCTGACAGGAATCACAGCCCATCCAAAGTTAGAAAATGTTAACTCAGCTTAAATCATATCTGGTACCTGGGACAGCTGTGGCATCCTCACATCAGAAGTAAATATATAAAACACACGTTTTGAATCCAAGTCTGTGACCAATGTATTAGAATTTTGAAATAAAATACTATATTTTAAGTGGCAGCTTCTATTAAATAATTAATCAAAACCTTTTTTYCCTGGTTTTAATGCTGAGAGGGAARTGGTTGCTACAGAAAATAAAAGGGGGRAAATYGCAGAACAGAATCAAAGGAAAGTAACTATTTCTCAAGMGCTTTTACTTTTAATTAAATTGCAAGATTTATGAAGTCATGAAAGCATTGCAAATAGGACAAAGAAACAGTCACAGGAGCTTAACAACACAGATTTTTAAGTTTTCTCTTACGGCGTTTGGTTTCATCACAGTTATTTGGGCAGTCAGGCTTAAAATCACAAAATTTGTCAGATGAAATACATTGTCCATTCCCAAATGGAAAAAATCCCAATGGCAGTAAAAAGATTAAGCATTAGCATCTGTAGATTGTTTCCCCTTAAAAGTCAGAAAAGGATATGTAAGTAAAAACACACATACACAAAATTATAAGRAATGCTTTTTATCTCCTTTCAATATAGCAACATGCTCAGCATGAGGAAGAGAACACCATCCATGCAGTGTGCTAAATTATACCACAGCTGATAATAAACAAAGCTGACCTCAATGTCTGATGCTCTCACTCTCCACAACGTTCAAACCTCTATGTGAAAAGTTATCAAATACACTGAGTGTTACAGAGCTTGGCTCCTGTTCAGAGGGCAGAGGTTGGGTCCCTGCTCTTTCCCTCAGAGCCAGGAGCAGGATTTTCACCAAACCTTTGTGCTGTAGCTGTGCTCTCTCAGTGCTCAGGTCACAGTGAAAGCTGCAAGAAGCCAAAGCTGGGTGCKGCACCATTACTAGCTTTCACCTCACCCTACACATTAGAAAACACCCCAARTTTCAAACAGTGGGGGAAAAAAAAGCCAGGATCTACTGGTTTTTCTTCAGTAGATTTCTGTGAATTTGGATTTCCTCCCATGGAAAGTGGGAGGAATTATGTGCAGCTATTCTTCTGTGTTTAACTTCACATTTTTAAATACTTGTCATTTTATCTACACAGCGATCTTTTTTAAAATCACTCCCTTCTAAAAACACTGCCTTTGTTATTAATGGGTAAATGAGGGAGTTGTAGGGAAAATAATTAAAACAAATTAATGTTTCTCTAAATATTTCAACCTGACTGTATACAGGGAGCAGAGACACCTTAAAACAGAGTGCYGAAGTTTTCTATTATGCCTGTAATTTTTTGGGTATCAAATTCAGATACCTGATGACTATAACTCATCAACATTACCCCTGACTGCATATGTGCCCATGCCACTTTTGAAAAGCAACTGTTAGCATCAAGAGGACCAAAAGCAGGAGTCTGACAGAAAGTTACATTTTTTGTATCTCCATCCATTGGCACGCCAAGACTACAGAGTGTGACTACAAGGACAAGTTTGGTGGGCATTATATGTTAGATATTTAGCAGTAATGATGGGGGAAGCCTCTTTTCCTAAAATTAAAGCAGTAGAATTTGCATTTTAGTGAAGTTAGCAATGTGGTACAGTAAATGTAGGGATTGATCACAAATTGGAGTACCTGCACTGTCAGTCTCACCTCTGTGCTGGGAAGATCAGGGAGCAGACCCTCCTGTAAGTTATGCTAAGGCACATGGAGGACAGGGAGGTGATTCGAGACCGCCAGCATGACTTCGACTAGGGCAAGCTGCCTGACCAACCCAGTGGCCTTCCATGATGGAGTGACTGCATCTGTGAAGGGATACATGTTGAAGAGCAGTATCATGTCTGAAGACAAAACCATATTTTAAAGTAAAGCTTATTTTTACAATTTACTACTAGCTTCAATGTGTCATCTGATGCAGACTGAACGATATGACTTCCCTGAACTCTTTTTATCTTAGCAAGCACTTGGAAACTTATCAAACATTATTTTTCTTCACAATTGCTGAATATATGACAGTTTCATAGGCATGCTAATCTCAGAAGTGCAATCATTGAGGTGCTTATATGAAAGAAACCTTATGATCTTTTATTTCCACAATCAACATAAATGAATATAATCTGAAGACAGATTTTTAAAATAACCTATTCATCTCCTGAAACAAGCAGATTGCCCAATATGTGGGAGGAAAAAACAATGACTGTAGGTGGATGAGGCTGTTTTTGAGGCAGAAAAGATCAGAAAACAGGGAGAATCACAGTTCACTCCCCTGTAATACAGAGCAAGTCTGATACATTTATTTTTTTAATTTTTAAATAATATCCAGACAAAGATTCAGCTGAGAGCTGAGGGGAAGAAATCAGATTTTCACAGACTAATYTTTTTCTTTCCCCCTGAGTCCTTCCTGCTTCTCCACATAGTGAAAGACTAAAATTTCTTCARCTGCAGTATCTTTACTTCCCTGCAAAAGCCTTGATCTGGATTATACTGGAATCTTCATGAAGGTAAAACAAGAGATGGATCAGTCATTTAGAAATATTCCTGTTAAAACACAGCTACTTTTTAATATCTTCTGGCTTTGTGTCTGGTAGACTAAGTCTCTCAGAGTTTATTATTACCACCACTCATGAAAATCATGTCTTATGTAAATAATCTTGATACCTATTAATGAATTGAAATGCTTTCATGTAACTTCCCCCTTCCCCCACAGCAAAAAGCTTAAGAACCAGAAAGCAGCAGGTATACAAACACTTTCCAAAATGAGCTGTTTGAAGAGCTACACTCTAAACAATTTGGCTTTTGGCTCTCAAGCAGCTTTTCAAAYAAATTTATGTTTTCATTAAGGGGGAAATAATGTTACACTCATTCTCTGTGTCCACACATTCTACTGTGCAATGACTGCYGTGTGCATTGAAGAGCCATAAACAGAGAGCTGGGACTAGAAATTTGCTTCTACAACTCCAAAAAACTTGAGCTAAATGAAGATGTTTCTTAGCTTCATCAGCAAAAAGACCCAAGCTTACAAGAAGCTGTAGAAAGAAGCTGCTTCTAAGCTTCAATTAACCAGAAAGGCACAACATAAATCTGTTATCCTTCAACTCCAATTTCTTTTCCTTTCTTTTTTATTTTTAACAGGAGCTAAAGAACTTGTAAAGCTAATAATAAACATAAATCTCTTTATGTGGATCCTTTTATCCTCTCAGTGGGACATCCAACAGAGGGCATCATCTCACATTTATACACAGAGAACACAACACATCATAATGAGCARCCCCCACTCCTTGCTCTTTCCCAGAATAAAAGTCTGCAGGGGAAATGTGGCAGAAAGCCAGGCTTCCAGTCTTCAAAAACACTCTCCTGACAGACATGTATAGCTAGGTAAGAACTTGCTCTGTCTTTTGTTGAATCTGAGAATTTTAAATTCATTCAATACATGCATACTTATTGTAAAAATGKTTTCTTTTCTGACTTTGAAGGAGAGAAAAATATGTTCATTCCCTCTGCATTTGTGTTTATTTTGAATGCAGACCAAACKCTGCAATAGATCTTACCAGAATAATTCATTGATTCACGTATCAGTTGTGCCCAGTTTGCCTTAAGGGTTTCTGAGATAAATTAATCTGAATCTGAAAGGTGCTTTTCTACTCAGCATCAAAGCCAACAAAAGAGAGATGAAACTATCCAAACAAATGCACTGTGGGTACAAAGGCTGTTGGGTGTCTGTCCCAGGAGTGATGCAGTCTGCAGGGTTTGGATGAGATGGTCCAGGCTTTCTGAGCTCCCTGCAGCAACATTCTGCCCGAGTTTATCCTGCATCTATTTTATTTCTGATGTTTTATAACACTAAAAAGTCRTGTGAAGGTTAAGAACTGTGAGAGTGCCTTAAATGACGGCACAGTTCCTGAATGGTTTCAGAGGCTKCTACTCCTCAGCTGCAAGGTGCAACTATTCAGCTGAGATGGTAACTCACTGAGGTGTGTATTCCAAGTGAGCTACAATTTCAAGWAAAACAGATTTAACTAAGCTAGAACTTGTTTGGGGTCCCTTAGATGAGATAWAACCTTAGAAGCCTAGATCCTCCTGGTATAGAATTCTGGTACTTGTTGGGCCTTCTAAGCCTGCTCCTTCTTTTCTGACATTTTTATTTTTGGAAAACKTTTTCTTAAGTGGAATTAACAGGTTCTGTTCTACACTGAGTCTGAAAAATTAACCAACCAGTCTAAATTTTATTTTGTTTCTCTAAAGCCTCTTTTTCCCGCCGAACAAAATGAAATTATTTTGGCAAGCTTTCTCTGTCTTTTCTCCTCTCTAACTTTTTTAATCAGAAGGGATTATGCAGTATCAGAAAAAAACCCTTAACAACACAAATTCTCCAAAAAATGGCACAAGCTCTGAAAAGTTGTAGAACAGAAAACAAAAAAAGGCTACGTAAGAAGAAAAAACATATAAAACTGTACATTACTTATTCATTTTATTCAGTGGCCAAAAGTACAAAAAAAATCATCTACAGCTGTGAATGTTCTCTTGTAGTGAATAGTTGTACATATTTAATACATTTCTTCAAGTTTTGCTTTAAAAATACAGATTTTGTTGTAAGTTGCAAGTCTAGTTATAAAGCTGTATTTTCATTTTTCATCTATTATTTTTCTATTTTTTTTTTTTTGTTCCTCATGATTCATTTTTTTCTCAGTACCTTTCTAGTTTTTCAGGTCACCCGCTATCCTGCCTGGTTGTTTTTGCATTACTCTGCAGGTCCACAATAAATTTGATAAAAAAAATATAATTTGAAAGTAACTCTCAAGAACTGTGCTGATCTGCTTAAAAAGCCTCCTCYTCAAACCATGAATTAAAATTTAGTAAATGTCTGAGAATGGTAGCCAATTCTCTCTGGTCACACCAACACAGCTGATGTGTACAGTGATTTTCCTGTCCACAGAGYGGGTGTTTGATATTGTCCTGTGGTCATTTTCCAGACACTTTTGTCACAGTATCCAAAAACCTGGAGCATATCCTTGAATATGAGACACCTGCTGGGTGCTACAGGAAAGAATAGTAATCATATTCAGATATCAAAATTTGGCAGCAAAGCAGTAAAAAGTCTCCTGCTTCTCTGTCTTCCCAAAGAATTATTCTGKAACTCCTTCCACTGGGGCTGAAATAGAGCCCTCAGTAGCCACGCTTAGAGCACGAAGAATACCTGATCTGCATCAGGGGGAGGGATGGCTCACAATGATGGGGACAGACAAAATCAAAGTGTTACCTGGCAGCARGAGAGCCCAGGGGACAGCCTGACAAGKGAARGGCTTYCCAGATGAGACATGGCCAACTTTGYGTTYRTCTGATRTGATCCACTGAASTAAATGAAGGTTCCTATCAACAAAAATTTGTTTTGTAAGTCTGAGAAATATATCGTGCTCCAATGGCAAACAGCTACCTCAGAGAGATAACTATATGCTTCATGAGACACATAAAGCATATTCAAAGATGAAAAACAATCTAAGCTGCTCTGCCATGCGTTCAGTCTCTGTGGATAATGAGGAGGGTGTTGTAACAGGCTGCGACAACCCGTGTCTGTGTGGGCAAAGACAAAACAGAATTGCTAAATGTTCCTGGCTTCTCCCTCTTGTAAAATTGTCATGACTGATTCCCAAGACAAGGAGGAAGGGAGAAGGAAATGAGGCTATTTGGGCAGCCAGTACTAAGGCTACCGTGTCATGGTGCCCATAAGAACTTAAACCCAAGGAAGTGACTACGGGGGCCCTAAAAGGGAGCTCAGTGTTGCTTTTTTGAGAGCATTACTGTGCAGAACCGCTGGAGGTATTTTTTATCAGCTGTCTTCAAGATTTTGCTCAAAAGATCTCAACCTCAAAACACTACAATTTTTACCAATCACCTTCACACATTGCCCATCCACTCTCTGTGAGGTCTGGAGAAGGCAGAGGAGCTGTAACACGGAGCGCCCTGGAGACCAAAGAGCAGAGTGCTTAGCCAAGATCCCTAAAGGACACATTTTAATTGGCTTAAATAATGTTTCAAACAGAATCTAAACCAGAAATTGTTTCCTTTAGGGTACAGTATTCGCTCTCAGCACAGCCCAGCCACTTTTAAGCATGCTAACAATGTTGCAGACCACAGGAGCCAATGGAATAAGCTATATTTTCTCATGGGGTCCACAGACTTGACATTGTTGTCTGTGCTAGTGGGGATGAAAGCTTAATTAAAGATCTAATCTGAACTCTGGCAAATGAACTGCGTTTGGATTTGAACTACAGCAGATGTGCTTCAGACAAAGGTAGGGAAGGATAAACATTTTCAAGGGGCCCTAAAGCAGCATATTTTGAATGCCGCCAGTGCTGCCCTCGCTGAATACTGAGACTTTTTCATGAAAGTCTATGCAAAACAACACTAAAGGCTCAGTCTTTTTTGAGCATTGATATTACACATATTGCCTTACATCTTGGAAAATCAGCTATTGTGCTGCCGCAGTCATGCTCCTCAGCCATTTATTTCCCATGGATACGTAATGAAGCCGAGGGTTAGGTCCAGCCCCACGTGAATAATGGCATTGCTTCAGCAAAGCTGGCACAAAGACGGGACCATTCCAGCTCCCTGTACAAACAGGAATGCTGCACCCTGCAGCAAGAGGGAAGCTCCCCTCATTGGAATGCGAGGGTACTTCAAAGGACTTTCTTTTTAATTTGCAGCTGAGGCTCCACAGTAGCCTTGTTAAGATCTTYATTAATCAAAATTTGCTGCTGCCCTCCCCAGGAGAGAAGAGAGATGAGCACTCYGTGGCACCACAAGGAACTGTTGCAACCTGAAGGATCTTAATATTGGCAAAAACTTGCTCAGATTCTGGAATCCTAATTCTGAGCTCATGGGTGTAAGCAGGTACAGGTGATAGATGGGTACAAAACCACATCAGAAACACATTTACAGCTGACCTATATGGCGAATGTAACATGGCTGGGCTTGAGAGGTGGGGCATTGTAACCCCCAAATCTGCTTGAGGCTTCAACCTGCAGCAGCACTGAGCCATACTTTTAATAATTCAGGTATCAAAGCAGCTGAAGTGAAGCAGCACAGAGGTTCATAAAGGTGATTTTAACATGCTACTAAGGCTGCAGAGCAGGTGTTTCTGCCAGCAGCCTTCACCCTGACCACATTACCCCTTAGATCTCAGCAGCACCTACAGCAGAGAAAGACACAGATACAGACAGATCAGTGCACCCCTCTGGAGCTCTGAGAGTTTGGAACTTCTTACACAGCAGTGTTTGCATGAAATGCAGTAATGTAAATGCACCCCACTCTACAGAAACAATAAAATGAAATATCAAACTGCTGCTGAGAAAAGTGAGCAGCAACTTTGGTTCACTTCATCACATGAGGACCAATGGCAAAAGTGACTGATAATTCAGTTAGAATTATTCTACACACAAAAATACTTGCACCCCWTACTCTTTGATCAGGTGAATTTCAATCCTGGAGTTCCTCTACCTTTGAATGCTTGAGGTGGAATATTTAATATTTCTTAAACATGAACATAGAAGTGTGGGGGTCTGGCTGAAGATACTACACATAATTAATTATAATTTAAAGGGGCACTGGACTGTAACCCAGATTTTAAAGTTATCTTATCTCCACTGGAAGAGGTGTGATAGATACATTTTTATAAAGTTAAGGTCACAGAATAGTTGCCAATATTATTTGACAATGACAAACATGCTTGGCAGTTTTATTTTTATGGAGTGTGCTATAATAACATTTTCATTTTGGAAAAATACTAACAGCCCTCCACTGGAATAAAATRGTTTTCCAGCTGAATGCATTGTGTGGCAAATATAGACTGAAGTAGGAACAATGCTTTAAAGGATATTATACTCTCTCTATTTTTCCCAGACAGTATRGATTAATTTGATTGCACTCTACAAAAAGCTATTTGTCCAAATAGTGTTTCCAAGAAAGGCCCCTATGTGAATATTGGGTAAACAATGCTTATGATACACACAAACAAAGTCAGCTGTCAGTTCAAAGGTCAGTCTCAAAAAARCTGCATTAAGTCTCATACCTCACTGACTGTGCCAAACAAAAATGAAGGTTACAAAGACACAGAATGTACTCACAGCTAAAAAAGAGCATCTCCAAAGACTGGCTTTCTGTAATGTATYACCTTTATTATTTACATACTATGTGGCATCCATTTCAAACTGGTTTTTATTTTCTTTGACCATTTACAAATAGGAATTTTCATGACAGAAGGAGAAAAATAATAAGAAAGGAAGTCTCGCCATTCTCCACATTATTTGTATGACCTCTGCCAGGGAGTTTTCTGTCCAGGGTAGCCTGTTCCTTCATTATGTTCCAGCCAGCATCACCTTTACTCAGTGGCTTCCATCCACAAAGGTCAGTCTCAAAATCTCCTAAAGTAGAATTAGCTGAGGTGAGAGCAACAACAACAAGAGATCTATAAGTTGGACTTGATGGAACAGTTTAAGGCCACCACTACGACTCTTTTGTATTTAGATGTACKAAGAGTGTTAAAGAAGCACAAATTACATTTCACTGCCAGGTTATTCAGATGAATAAAAAGTTCTAGAATACAGGAAACAGGCTRGGAAGGCCCCTCCTTTCTTAATCAGACTCAGAAGCATGAAACAAACTACCTGAAAGACATAAAACTACTTCACAGTGAAGATCTGTTCATAGGTTGATGAGAGATTATGAAAACAATATTAAACACTTTTTAAAGAAGAATTACGAATGTGTGAGAAAAATCAAATGTATTTAGAGCTTAAAATACATGGAAAGCAATGATGAATTAAGCTTTCTTTTAATTTATTTTTGAAAATGAGATTTAAATTTATGAATTATTCAGGTCCCCTAGAAATTTTTATTGCAAAGTAAAAGACCATTACCTCAGTTGGTATGGATTAGACCAATTTAAATTGTATAAAAATTTCACACACTCTTACATTTATTGAGTACATATAATTATTTTGATAAGAAAACAKTATACTCAGTTTTCTTTCCTGGTCCAAAACAGCTTCCCAAAGCACTATACTTGAGTCTTGAGGTCACTTATTGCAATTGCTACCATTACTTTAGAGCTGAATTTGTCACTTTCTGCTCCCAAAGCACATTTATCTGATCATATCAGCCTCAGACACAATCATACATATTAYTCCAATTTTCAGACTGTACAAAACCAAAATTAAATGCATCTTTCTTTAGGCACCATTGTAGCAAAGTTACATAGTAAAAGCTTCCAAGGAATACAGACGTTATTTGAGCAGGTAAATCTCAGGGTACAAAATAAATCACAGTGTCTCTTATTTGGTTTAACCATAMACATTAAAATTTGATGGTGAACAGTTTTCTGTTTAGTGCAGCATATTTAGGTAAACGTGAAACTTGGTTAATTTATTTAATTGCATTGCCATGCTTTTGACAAGTATCTTTTCAATTTGTCTTCAATTGCTACTACATTAAGGTTGAATATGCAAATTGATAACCAAGACTAAGCTGTTTTGGTAATTAATATTATATCTGAGCATTGTGCTTGCCTTAGCTGAGCAGTCTTGAGAGAACCAATGGGATACAAAAAGGCCAACATTCTTTGCCAAAAYACCTCTTTCTCCTGATCTTCCTAAACCTCACAAAAGGTCATTTGCATAAACAGCTGACTGCAGTGCCTGCCCAGTAATAGCCAAAAAGACATCAATAAATGACCCCATAGGCACCAAAAAGGAAAAAGTTAAAATAATGGTTTAAATATGAAACTAAGAGTGAGATGGTACTAATTAATATTTTACAGCTCAACAAGGTATTTATAATAGAAATATTTTTTCTTAATTATATTTTTTTAAACTAGAGGTATTTAGGGTCTCAAGAAGAATTGTTATCACAATAACAACTTTTGTGCGATCAGAGTCCGTCAGTGCCCTTGACGTCCAACAAGAAGAGAGGTCTGGTGAAATTGGCATTTCTTACACTGGTAGCCAGCAGTACAATTGCTTCTAACATTATAGGTGTAGAAAGATATGTATAAACATCTACTTTTAGGCTGAATATATAAGCAGTGGGGTGGAAAAAACATGCACACACCTCAGAACACTATCTCAGATCAAACTGGTTTTGTTCAGTCATTTTTTCAAACTTTTTTCAAGTCTGAACACAATTATAAAGGTAGGAAAAATATTCATGGTGGTGTACTTTGTTTATTTTTTTTTGGTTCTTTTTGGGTTTTTTTTTTTGTAGTTTTTCATAACTGGGTTTGGGTTTTTGTTTTTGAGGATGATTGGTTTGGGGTTTTTTTCTTTTGGGTTTGTGGGGAGGAAATAGAATATGATAATGCTGACCACACTTTAGATGCTAAATGTTTTTTCATTACGCCTTTCACTTGAAATGTAAAGCTCTGTACAAGCACCCAGTCATGCAGAAACAGTGGCCAGAGTGAATTACCAAACCAAAGTGCTCCCCCTATGTAGTATCTGGAAGTGATACCTCAATTTAAAAGTGTAAATATGTTGTAGAACAGCAAGGCTCCAACTGTGAGTGAAATGCACATGTCCAAATTAACAGTTTAACTTAAACTTTATCCCTACTTAATTCTAAAAACTTAAAGGGTGCTTGTAAATGGTTAATCAAGCTTGAAAGAAAAGTTCTGTGCTTTGGCTAAAACCCAAATCCAAGTAAGACAGTTTCTCAGTCTGTTTTTTCATTCCTCAAACATTAATAAACCTTAAGAAATGTGCCTTTCCTATCAAACATTCGACATTTTTATCTGAACCTTCAAGTGATTACAGGTAATCTTTCACTATCCATAGCTGGAAAAYGAGTGACTGCACAGCCTATAGTTTTTGAGTAGTCATACTACAGTAAAGTTTGACATAAAGCTCTTTTCTGATATATTATGTCCCTTTCCAYTGCAATTCTCAGCACCAGAGCAAATGTTTTATATTTCACTAGGAAGATTTCAGTGGATTCATACTGCAGAATGGTTTTTGACATTTTGAATGAAAAATGAGTTAATTCTCTGTTTTGGATATTCATCCTTTTACAATCCAGAAAAACAGAAAAAGAAAAAAATAGAGAGGAAACAACAACTTGCTTTCATTTGAATAATAAGTCAAATTGGATTTTTTTTTTTTTAAATTAATGGATGTACCAGTATATCTGAACTAACCAAGGAGTAAACTATTACACCAATTCTACAAAACACAAAGACACAACCAGGAAAAAAAATTGTTCCCCAAACACTCCTTGAGTTTCAAGAAATAAGTGTAGGTTACTAAAGTCATAAAACTGGAAAAATTTTTCAATTAATACAAACTGTTTTCAACATCTTTAAAGAACAATTAAAAAATAAGAAAAAGGAAACAGGAAACAAAGTACATATTTAAAGAGCACTGGGAGGTTAAATGGTAATGTTTTTTCCCTTGATTACTTTATCTATCCTAGCTCCTGACAATCCTCCTGAGGAAAAACAAAGCAGTTCTGTTAACTAGGTTGGGTTACCAGCCAATTAATATTGCTTCAGCTTTGCTAGCCTGCAACTGCACAGAGGTTTTCAATCCTGCTCTGGGAGCACAATCCAATGAACACAAACAGGGACACTCAGCTGGTCTCTCCATCAGGTTGGTGTTTCCCTGAATAATGGTATTGAATGAGGAGGTCTGTTCCCCTCATTCAGGGTGGCAGCTTCTAAGCTTCTTTGGAATTTGAGGTAATAATTAACTGTATGAACAGAAAYCAAAAAACCTCTTTGCCATTTATATTTTGTCATTTCTAGCTGACATTTTATGTCATTTTGTGAAAGTGAAGTGTTATAGTAGAACTTCTGCCTGAGTGCCCCTGCACTTTCCCTACCAGTTTKTGATTAGTTTTATTTATCTGGAATTTGTTAAAGGATTCGTGCAGAAATATCACAGATGGCCGCAGGTCACCCAGCCTGAACTTCCATATGGCATAAGCCATYAGACAGATGACTCGTGACTCCCACAGGTGAGATGGCCTCACCTCTTTCTAAAACTACTCTGTTGCCTTGCTTAGGGTTAAAAGAGTTTAAGAGGACCTCATATCTGTCACCCTTGATCAGCAGAGACCACATTCACTTCCAGCTGCTCTGCTGAAACACAAAGGCAGTGCTACACAGTGCCTGCCAGCAGTGAAGAAACCTGGGAAAATAACATGGGTGTCGTTTCTTATTCTCCACATGCACATCCAAGATCGATGAACAGATACTGATAATTTCAAGCAAATCCTGTGTCGCAGAAAACACACAAATGTTTAGTAAATAAAGTGATTCAGACTAAAATGTGCTCTTTCCACTTTAACGTTGAATGGTRATAAGAATATTTGCATCTGTGCTCATCTGCTGTGGAAGGTTTCAAGGATTTGCAATTTTAAATTGCTRTTCTGTAAATGAAATGCAATAAAAGTGCATGGCTTTACAATTATACAGGTTTCCTTCATTCTACATATTCTATATTCATGAATTATTCAAATCCTAGGAAAAGCTGAGAATATTTAAGGTAATACTAGAAGTGTTAAGTTAAAAGCAGAAGTGGTAAAGACAGGTGTTTTAAGAAAGTTTCTAATAAAGCTGAATGGAAGAGATCCTCTTTCATAAACACCTTTAAGATGATCCAACCCCACAATAATTTTGAGTTTACAKGCATGCTGATGAGCAGGTAATTTCCATAAACAGTACTGTATCAAAGTGTGATATTACTTTAGAATAATAACTGCTTCCTAGACTTGTTTCCAAGTTGCAAGGACTGCTAGCTACTGATTCATTTATATTTATAAGTGTTGTGGAGGTAATATATAAATAAYGTAAAATAATAAGAAGCATGGTGTTTGAAATATTAGTTATTTGACACAGTATTTAGTGCAAAAATTCCTTTATATTAGGTAGGAAATAAAGAAAAGGCATCAATATGAAAGGGATCTTTATAGTCCTTTAAATTATCTAAGTACTGTTTGAATATATTAACTAGGTTTTCGTAGTTTGTTATAATTCACTGAAATAAGAAATTTAGAAGTGATCACAAATAAAAGGTGTCAAAAAGGTGTAATGAAAATGCAGATTTTATTAGTAAAACCAGTACTTTTATACCTTGTCACTTCATTAGAATGATTTTAACAAAACTATTCAAATAAAGATGGTTACTCAGTGAATAAGTGTTTCCGAGACAATTTCCTAATTTCTGAGAGTTTTAAGTCTATGMGACTCAAATATTTATATTTGAGTATTTATATAAATGAGCAGAGATTAAACAGAAAGATTAGGAAGCATTACTAAACATATGTGTTTGTTCTTGTAATAAATCATGTTATAATATTATTCAAGTCAAATCAACATAACCAAAGAGAAACATTATTTTAAAATTCCTTATTATAATGAATTATAATGAATATTATAATGAAAATTCTTGAAAGAATGGGATCCTTCACATTGTGAAATAACAGCTGTCTGCCTTTGTTTTCATTCAGCAGCATATCTGTCAGATCTTTCAGAACTTAAGAGAACTTCATCAAAGGCAACTGCARAGGATGTGTCCAAGGATGGATGCTAAAAGACCTCATAAAGGCTAAAATATGCATTGCTGTACCAGAGAGGAAATTTTACTGAACATCAATATGAATAAATATAGACAACTCTAAGTGTCACGGAGGACAATATCAGGATCTTGTGGCAAATTGATATAATGGGAATACAAGAACAGAGGACAAAAATAAATTAGGATTTTTTTGTCATACTTCTTTTGCTCAAAGCTGTGGTAAGTGTCTGAAAGATGAATCTTCTAAGCTGATCAAACTGCTGAGTAGCCAAATTCTATCAGGACCCTCATCCTGTAAAGGAGTGTGGGAAGTATCCCAGACAATGTTATCCTTTAAAATGGGACAATTTACCAATAGTTATTGCTGTTTTAAAGATGGTAATCTTTTTTCTTTTTCATCTCAGCCAGTAGTCAGAGCAATAAGAAACTACTATTGGTTACTTATACTTTAGAAAAGAACTTTTTCCACCATTTTTTTGAGTATTAATATACTTCTGTGCACTGCTCCAGCAAAATTACACCTCTTCAAACTGTGAATATCTCAACAGATAGTCAAACAAACAATCCTTGTATCTCAGGTTCAACTGTGTCATATTTTCTTTATTTGAAGGGAGTTAGTGGAGAATCAGTGCCAGTGGAAAAACCAAAGTTAGTTGCAGAAACAGCGGCAGAGAAGGGAGCAGTAGGCAGAGATATTGAAGAGGGTTTTGCACTGATTGTGCCTCTCATCATTCCTTGTCCCAGCACCCTAACTCGGGAGATTCCACAAAGGACAGTGTAGAGACCACCAACCCATTCTGATTTTTCCTTTCTCTGCCCAATTTCTATTTTTCCCGACCCATCCACATCAGCATGATGGAAGAAATATTCCGAGTCCCAACTCTGAAATACTGACTAGATCTAGATAATTTTGGTTACTTAATGTTATTGTTCAGTGTCTGAGGCACAGACCTGTAAGTGTTTGGAGTTATCCTTATTTTCACTTTGTGTAGTAGGGTTAGCAGCTCCCTGCAGCTGCAACAATTATTTTTCATTATCTTTTTAAACCTAAAATTATTCTTTTATATATTCATACACTGCTCTTTACCACAATTCTCTCTCATTGTTAGGAAGTGGGATCACTAAACTGCTAAGAAGTAAAGTCCAGTATTGAAAGTACAATTCACCATTCATTCCTCCCAAAGAGCTCTTCACTCTCCTGCCAGTGGAGGTAGGACAAACACAGAGCTAACAGCCTAGGGCCAAGTCTTGTAAAAATCAAAAAGAGCTCTCAGTGAGGGAGCCCTTACAGATTTAGTGTTTGCTTAGATCCTACCCAGAGATAAAACAGTATATGTTTTCCTATTTAAAGTGCTATTTCAGCATTTGCACATATTACTTGTTACAGAGACAGTTYCTGCATAGTTATTTAAGTAATTGGAAAAAATTAAAGATTCAGATTGTGAGCTAAAAAAAAGGCTTGCAGTCTCAAATAGTTCCTAAAGTCTCATCAAGCAATTAGAAAATAAAACATTATCAGTGTTTTTCATCCTTCTACCTTGAGCAATACACGAAATTTTAATTGGTGCCTCCCAGCAGCAATATTTATCATCACTGCTATCTTAAATATGTTCACAATTTTTATCAGAAACACTTATTTAAGTATTAGGAGGCAAACATACATACAGATGCACACCCTGTCATATTAATTATATAATTATATTAATTATAGACGTGATAGGGTCTCTAAAGATATTTTCATATGGAAATCTAAAATTATTCAGGATTTTTACAGACGTTTTTCAGTAGTTTTAATTMTTTTTCTTTTTACTCTTGATTGTACAGTAGAAAATGTGGTTTCTAAACAGTTATCTTCAATTACAAATAAAATGAAGAAGATGTAGCTTCTGAACTGCAGCCCATTTCTGTGGTGATTTTYACCACAGTGCAAATATCATGTCACTTAATGTATTTTCTGACAGTAATTCACAAGCAGTCTAAATTAGAAAACTGTTCCAACAACAAATCCCAAGGCAGATTTCATTCCCTTGCAATTTAGGGAAGTAAAGGTTATAAAATTGGTATGTAGGGAAYACACTTAAGCAAAAATATGGTGAATGTTGCATTTCAGCTGATTATTAAACAAATTACTGGCTGTATCTAAAACAGAATGCTGAGGCCAGACAGAAAAACAGAAAGCAATGGAAAGAAGAAAATGCTGTGAACATTTTTGCTAACCTGAATGTCATTAGATATTCTAGGGAAAATAAACCATATAAATTTAAAATATTTTTTTCAAGTGATTTGTTGCTTGTATCTCTTTAAGTTTCACAACAATTTTCAGCATGGTATCCCCCTAAAGGAAAGGGTCTCACTCTCAGCAGGCTGCTGGCTCCTCACTGCTGCCATCAGAGCAATCTGAGTGAGAGTCACAGGCTGATCCAGGCACCATGGACTGCACCTCACTGTGGGTGGATTCATCCAAGGAGAGGAACATATTTGCATTAACAGGTAAAAGAGTGAAACAGATTTTTGTTTACACAAAACAGTTCTAGGTGTAAAAAAAATGCTGCAGAATTTCCATTGCAAAGCCATGAAAAAAATTTGAATCAGAAACTGAAATTTTGTRTCACTTTCTCAAGTTGAAATAATGGAAAATTTTAAGCTATAATTTAATGAATTCAATAAATGAAGTAAAAAAACAAAATGTCTATTTTAAAAATAAAAATCCTAATCTCGTGAACATTTGGCTAAAAAATCGTAATGTCCCCGTGCTTTTGAAATGCAATATCCTGTGTCCTGAACTGTAATATCTTAAAGTGTCCATCTTCCTTTCTGAAGTGTCTTCAAACCTCATTTTGCAGATGCCCAAGAGAAAAATTTCCAGTTACAGGTGCACAAAATGAGCTGGGAACTGTCCTCAGACACAACTGGCATCACAGARCTTAGTAAGTGGTAACTGTGCCATCACATAAAATAAAGGGGATGCTCTCAGTCTCTGCAGTGGGGTTGGTCCCTCCCTGATTGTAATCCTGGAACTGCTCTKGCACTGGCTGGGACGTGGCTGATTTGCTTAGGTCAAAACCTTGCCAGGGACCATGTTGATGTTTTAATTATGTAGAATATCACACACCAGCCTTGGGCCTGTGCCCTCACCCTGCTTGTTTTACTGCTATTGACATAGACATGGAGATTCAAGGAGCATTTTTCTCTCTGACAGAGCTCYCTTGCTCTGAGCAGATTTAGCACAAGCTGATTTAGAGCAATGAAATTCCAGAAGAACATCTGTTGCTCCTGGCCACGGCAGAGCCCAGCTCYGCTGGCTCTCAAAGCAATGAAATTACCCCATTTGTGCTCTCCAGGTTTCTTTTACCTGAATTAAAGCGGCAAACAGGAGGAAGAAAGCTTGGATGCATCAAAAAGATTAGGATGGCAATAAAAGAAAGCRCTGAGAAACAAGTGCAGGAGTTGGAAGAATAAATAAAATAAATGGATTTGTGAGTTTTGATGGATTGGGACATGACCCGAGTGTGTCTCAGAAAGTAGTTGTAAAAGTACAAAAAGTCAGAAAGCACAGTGTAAGTATTTCACAAAATAAAAGGAAACTGGAACAGATGTGATTTGGGGCATAAGGAGAAAGGTCTAGCACATYCCCCAAAGCCTGGAAATTAGGTTGGAGTGAAATCTCAAGAGGCATTTTTCGTTCTAGAAAATAAGAGTAATACATGTCATTATCTTCCACGAGAAACAATTTCTTCACAATGACAAAATTCTTGTAATACTCTCCATTMTCTCTCTACCAGTTCAAAAATCAGAATGCTGCTCTGAAGATATGAAATAACCACATAATTAAAGTTAGTATGTTTCCTTCCCAAAGTGCAAGGGGTCCTTGCAGTCTTTGTACAAGAAAACATAGTTTTGGCTTCCTGCTTATATACATACATGCTGAGCAGGCTTTTGTTAATTTATTTTTAGATACTATAGATAGTTTAATTACACATCTGCTTTTTATTCAAAATTGTCCTTGTGGGAAAAGGAGAGACAGGCGAGAACATGCACATAAAACCTATTAGCTTGCTGAAATGCATTCATTCCAACATCTGTCAAACCATCAATTTCTGTAGTGGGCTTAGTCTTTGTCTTTTTACAGAGATTATATTTTCATCTGATTGCTGAAATAGTAAAATAYGATGACAACCAAAAAAATAGCAAATAAAAAATTACTTAAAATGCAAACTTGTAAATTAATATAAGAATTAAGTAGTTGCAATTTAGCATTTATGTMTATGCCTGAAATTTCGAGAAGGTATCTTCTCATTTTGTGGTTTACATAATTTCTGAATTTACTGAAATTCCACAAAGATCTTTTWCATTATCTCGCTTAACAGTATAATCCACTTAAATGAGTTGGTAATACCTGAGCTGGACTCAGATGACTAATTAAAATCAGATGAGATTTGTAGTAATTTTCTTGCATGTTATTAAAGTCCAGCAGCTTCTGCATGTCATGTTTGTGCAGATGTTTTGAGCTACACCCAGAGATTTACTTATATCGAAGCAATGAAGAAATAGCAAGACATTCACAATACACACAATTTTAACAAATTTTTAGGTTTCCTAGAAGATTTTTAAACAATGAAGTAAAACATCTTGAAAAATTGAGCACAAGCCTTTTTCATTCATACCTTTATGTTTTCTAGCCCTGTTGGTAGCTGCATATTCACTTTGACGCATTCCTTCTTAGTCACAATGTTGGCTTCCCACAAGACATGCTCCTCCTGTAAAATGTAGGAAACTATGCTATAAAGACAATTTTTGTTCCTCCAGAAGTTATCAAGGCCATTTTTTGTCCTTCCTAATCTCCTTGCCAAACATCATCTATATACAATGTGAGAAAATAGAACTTCTCATATTCATTTGTAATCTTTGCACCAAGGTCTGTTGGAGAGAGAGGAAACAACAAATGTTCACTGTGAGTAAACAGACTAATAATATAATTATCAGGAGTTGACTTGGTAAAATTAAAGTTAATTAATATGTAAATTAAGCCATGTTATTGCTGAGTTTAACAATATGTTTCCATGGTGTTCTCTACACAAGTTTCCTTTTCATAAATAACTGCTTTTATTATGTCGTGTAATTAATTAGATTTAGTTCTCTTAGAACTGAATTTTGGGTCTGCCAGAATTACCCAATCAATTAGGTAAATTAAAAAAAAAATCTGTAAAGCAAGCACACAGAGTACAACCTAATAATTTTTAGTTATGCTCTGAATTACCTTAATCCTCCCATTTTCACTYCACCAGCTAAGGATAACAGCAAGAGTGCTAAATATGGTGAGGCTCCCATTATGCAAACACTCCAAGCCCTTTTGATTCAATATTCTGGCAAAAGCACCTCACACTCATTCTGCTTCTGGTTATGATCCTGCTCAGAAYAGACTGAGTCATAAAGGAAAGAAGACAGAAATTTGAACTTTATATATCTGCACAAAATCTTTTCAAAAAGCAGTTGCAAAATAGAGCAAAACCGGAAAGACAAAAAAAACCTGGAGGAAAAGTTAATATAGGCTATACATACAAACAGACTTACCATTATAAATATTAAAATTCAGACTATTTTTAGGAAACTGAAAAGCATTGGTCATACCTTTTCCACAAAGGATATTACAGAATTAGTGGCATTTCAGAAAAAGATGCAAAGCAGGATAAGAGAAATGGAGTCTTGTATGAAGAGAAATTGAAAGTATAAAAACAATTTATCTAACAGGAGATTAATAAAAGGGGTTATGATAGGTATGTGAAATGTTATCAATACTATAGACAAGGACAGTTATTTTTTTTTCTTGATGAAATGCTCTTTCTATTACTTGATAGACTGTGAGGTCTGTGCCAGCAGAACAGCACTGATACGATTTGTCCTGTGTAGGCAATTAGTGCTCTTTTCCTCCCAAGGCCATTCCGACATATTAGCAAACAAGGAACAATAAATGCCCATTGAACATGTGCTCAAAGATCAGTTCTGGAAAACTGCAAGACAGGGCCAAGGCAATACCTTAATTTCAAACACTAAAGGACAGAAACAATCAAACTGGATAAAGCACATGAAATACTTGATTTCAGAAATAAAAGTCAGCCCTGAGTTTCCACATCAGTGTAGAGTGTATTTGTTCACTTGTTTATGTGACATATTCAGCAAAAGTCTTTCAATATTGAGTACACTTCACTTTGTGTAAAACTTGCTTCATTTTACTAAATAATTCAGCTTTCAAAAGAAATCAGTTTGCATTAGGCACATATAAGACACAGAAAAGGATGAAGTACTAGGGACCATACTGCATGGCAGGTTAAAACCATAGCCTGTGGTTAAATGTCTGCTTTGGGTTAACATACCCTCCCTCACTGGTGCATACAAACCCTGCAAAATATACCCCTGTGTATATTTTGAGAATGCTCTGTATTTGCTGTGTATTTGACTGGATGCACCTCAATACTATAATTTGGTTCACAGTCACATAACAGCTTAGATACRCAGCCCCATGACCAAATTTCTCCCAAATTCATTTTAATAAAAACAGATTGTAGCAGTAATCTTGAGGTTTCTATAGGCAGTCACACCTTCTAGGACTGTTATTTACACTGAAAGCTGTAAATCAYCTCAGAGGCACCAAAATTTTTAACTGATTATTGTTCCATGTGGCAAATTTTACCCTCTGATTTTATACAGCTCTAATAACCCAATAATATTATTTCTCTTCCTCACAATTCTTGCAGCAGTCACCCTGCTTGTCATATTCTTCCAYGTCTACAAATGGGTTAACCTCACTAGCACATTCCCTGTGTCACTAGCCTTCTTTTAGAATATGGAAGGTGTTGCTTTTCCAGTACTTTCCTTCAAGATTTATWTTGGTGGGGCAGGGGGGCAGTTGCTCAAGATACCTTTGCTCTGTTCCCCTTAATGTGATATATTACTATCAATAAGCAACTTGGTGTAAAACTAAAATGGGCAAGAATTGTACCTTTTCCCCACAATATTTTTTTCTGAGATAATGTGACTCAGATTTGAAGGATGGAAAAGACAATCACGACTTTTTATAAAATTCTCCATTTATAAAATACCTTTATCTTTTTTTTGTTGTTGTTATTTTTTGACATTTATGTATGGATACATGCACTGCTGGACAACCACCCATTATTTTGTCCCTACTTCCCTTTCAGAGAGTAATTTGGAACAAAGGCTTAWTTGTTCTCCCACAGTGATTAATGGACCAACTTTACCTTCTGCACAGGAGCATACTCATGTGACTTTTACAAGCGTTGCTGAACATGTAGAAAAATTTTAGTGCAGTAGGATACAAATATGCTTGYATTTAAAGCATTAGTTGAAATTATCTTTTATTGCTTAATTTCCATTTTTTTATATGGAAATATATATATCCGAAGTTATAAAAGATGTAAAGATTAAGACAATAAAGGGAAGACAAATAAGCCCACTAATTAAGGAGAGTAACAAAGAAGTCATTAGCAGCAAATGGTAGACCCAACATTATCTCATTTGGTTTCAGTTTTCACAGAAAATGTTAAAATTTATCTGTCATTTAATATGTGGTTAATTTTGTTAATTGACAAAGTGGGACATGAAATGCCGGAAAGCAGTGCCATGGAAAGGGACCTGGAGGTCRYGGTTGATGGCAAATTGAACATGAGCCAKCAGTGCCCTGGCAGCCAGGAGGGSCAACCCTGTCCTGGGGGGCATCAGGGACAGCATCACAGCCAGGCAGAGGAGGGGATTGTCCCRCTCTGCTCTGCTCTGGGGTGGCAAYGCCTTGAGTGCTCGGGGCAGTTCTGGGCGCCACAATATAAACAAAATACAAAGCTATTAAAGAATGTCCTAAGGAGGGCTCTGAAAATGGTGAAGGACCTTGAGGGGAAGCCATACGAGGAGTGGTAGAGGTTGTTTGGTCTGCTCAGCGTGGAGGAGGGTGAGGGGAGACTTCATTGCAGTCTAAAACTTCCTCATGAGGGGAAGAGGTAGGCACTGACGTCTCCTCTCTGGTGACAGTGACAGGACACAAGGGAATGGCCTGAGGTTGTGTCAGGAAAGGTTTAGGTTAGGATGGTTTAGGTTTAGGTTTAGGTTTAGGTTTAGGTTTAGGTTTAGGTTTAGGTTTAGGTTTAGGTTTAGGTTTAGGTTTAGGTTTAGGTTTAGGTTGGATATCAGGAAAAGGTTCTTCCCGAAGAGGGTGGTTGATCACTGGAACAGCTCCCCAGGGCAGTGGCCACAGCACCGAGCCTGACAGAGTTCCAGAAGCTTTTGGACAATGCTCCCAGGCACAGGGTGGGACTCTTGGAATGTCCTGGGCAGGGCTGGGAGTTGGATTTCAATTACCCTGGTGTGTATCTTCCAACTCAGGACATTCTTTGATTCTGTGAATATTTTATGTTAGTTGRAGTGTTGATATTGCCAAATGGTAATGCAAACATGGTCTGCAACAGAAGAATAATGTTACAAACACATATATGCCAGAAGTACTAAAACTGGAATGGAATTAGGAAGTTTTAAGTAAAGGTTAYATATTGGAAGGAGCATCTTGCTATCAGCAGTGAGCTCTGAGAACCTGAGGAGAATGTGTAGGAAAAGAGACAATTGGGAGAACAAAGGACATATATTACAGTTAAGGGGGAAATACAGACTATGCAATTATAGCTAAGATGCTAAACAACTCTTAAGGCACTGGAACAAATTGTTAACAACCTTGTAAGCAGATAGAGAATTAGAAACTGAGAAACCCACATTAGCTAGCTGCTTCTGATGAGGAGCAAGTTGTGTTTAGCAGTATAAACAGACTAGAAAAAAATAGTTACTTCACTTTATTAAGGTTTTTTAAAAGGCCATATAACACATAATTTTTAAAAAATTGTGGTGATTTGGTGTAGATGAAATTACTGTAAAATGGGTTTGCAAATAGAAGTGTGAGCTTATTTCAAAGAGGAGATGTCAATAGTTTTCTATTAAACTAGGAGAAAATTAAAATAGATTTCTGCATAGGTCTGTTCCAGAACCTGATATAATTATAGTGCTGACTAACTGACTGCAGAGTGTGGAGAGTGGGATGAAAAAGGCATTTCAAAACAATGTGGATAATACTATCTTGGGTGGAATTATAAGCACTCTGAAGGACATCAGGAATTTAAAATCAGGAAAGGAATTTAAAATCATCTCAGTATAAAGAAACCAGTTCCAAACCAATAAGACAAAGCTCAAAGACATATTAGTCACAGTTAATAAAGGAAAATCAAATGGTCAAATGCAGTTTAATGAAGAGCAGTTTGGCAAGCCAGCAATAAAAGAGGAAAAGTAGACTCGAAGTTAAATATAAGTAAACACGTTACTGCTGACAAAAGGAGTCYATTTTCCCTATCCTTCTTCAAACCCAAGAGCAATTTAAATTTCCCATCTTCCAACTGATTCCATAATGTCTATATTAGAAAATATATTCGCTCATCTTTGCTCTCTCTGTTGAAAGGGTGAGGAAAACCAGGGATAAAATTACAACATCTGTGGCACTTGCCCTCTAGAAACACTGCTGAACTGTACATTAAGTGTAATCCAGTCTCTATACGTGTCAGGCCTGTCAGCGCTGGGATTTAGCAAGAGTTACTCAAAGACGAGAGGTTGTGATCAATAAATATAGAGATGGGATGTGCAAGGAAACTGCAAGGTACACTCAATTGAGAGGTTGTTTTGAATAACAGCTTCCAGGACAGCAGCTCTGTTGTCTTCCAGGGTCAGAACAAGCCCTTGACTCTCAATTCTGTTCCTTAGTATTGACTAGTTTTGAAGATTCATTGGTTTTTCATAAACAATCTAATGATCCATTWGCAAAATATGTAAAACCCAACTCTCCCCTCATTTCAGTTTTAAAAGTCCTAAATAAGAGTCCATAGGGTTCGGTTTTTTAAGCTACCAGCAGAAACTTCTATTTCCGAATGGTTTTTTGGCAAATTTTGCAGTATGAGTAACTCACATCAGCTTTAAATAAGTCTCTGTGCAATAAATATGCTTCTGATTGAAGGAGAAATTCAATAACTAAAACATTAAAGGGCTAAGAGAATCTGTGGAAACAGAGTGGACTGATGTAATAAATGCCAGAAAATATTCTTCTAATGCACGTGTAAGGACCAGTTTGTCAATTAATTCATTCTAGGCTCCCAGTTGTATGGGAACTCAGATGTCAGTTTTATTATGGTTTTTGCTTACATAATTTGCTCTGTTTTCAGGGAAAGAAAACTCCTAAATTGGGTCCATTGATGCTACTTAGGTGAACCACTGAAATCAATATTCCTGTTCTGTCTCAAGGTTGCCGAGAGTGTCATTCCTGGGAATTTATTGGCAAGTACTTTGGCACAAAACTCCGTGCATTCTGACCAGAGCRCTGATTATGTTACAATTCCCTGACACAGTAATGGGTCATAGAAAAATACAACTATTCTCTTTTATAAATGAAACATGAGCAAAAACCTGGGGTTGTTTTCATGAATACTCAAAGACACAATCAGAAAAAAAAAATTATTTCCATTACCCGTCCTTATTTTAAAGCCTCTTGAATGTGTTACACGTCGGAAATTTTAGCTTCTTATCTCTGTGAATGAAGTGGATCTAATTTTTTAAATATGTGTATTGTTGGGTGATAAGAATTCAACTCCAGCATCAAGATATGAGATCCATTAACTTAATGAGAGCGGCTCTACTGCTCTTTCTTTCATTAAACAGCAGCACAAAGCATCAATACTAACCCATTAAACTAAACTTTCAAAAGAGAACATCCTAGCATTAGAAAGTGTCACAAGGTAAGGGAGGTAAGAAAAATGAAAATAGTTAGCACTGCTCTACTGACATTTGTGTTTCATTTTGACAGGGCTCTTTTATCTACTAATAGGTAGAAGAATAGAAAAATTWCTGCTTTAAACTTGGGCAAAGCAAAGGGGTTTAATCAAGAGCTTTCCAGTCACCCTGAGTMGACAACTTTCTTTTTTACTATGTTTCCATAGACAAAAGCACCTATTTTCTTACTTTGATAASAGGAAGAAGGGTAGAAAAGCTGATACTAAAGACATCCCCCCCTGAAATCTGCAATTACTTAAATTCTGTAATAGCTGGGTTTGTCCTTGAAGTCTTATTGCAGAACATTCACCCATCAAATTAGTTTGTAGCTGAGATGGCAAATACCCAGATTTTGCAATTCCACAGACCAGTGGAATGGTACCAAGCTGCTTTTTGCACAGACAGGCATGTAGCAGCAGTGGCATCTTCTTGCATTTTGTCTGGTCACACCTGGGCTGCCATATGCTTACCTTTTGGAAATGAGCACATGTTCCTCCTTTCGTGATTCATGAGCAGTTCTGCCTTGAGAACACTGTTCTCTGCCATGGAGTAAACTGAAAACAGCAATTCTTGCTGGAACAACTACATATGGAGCTGTTTAGATATGCACCTTCATATAATACATTGTCATTAACATCCAACCACTCAAAATGGCCTGAAAAACAGAAAAAAAAAAGAAGGGAAATAGAGATCTCTTTTTCACAAACCATTTTTTTCCTCAGTTTTTGAAAATAAGGACTGCTCTCACATAATTACACAGAAGACCCATCCCAGCMAGAAAGAAATCTGATTGTCACGTTGATGATGTGTTTTGGATGTCATCTGTTTCCTATTAAATGGATACATATATCTTCAATTTACTCACAAACCAAGAATTACATCAGTCAATAGTATCTCAAAGTTTTTACTTTGCATGTTAAAATCTGAAAGAAGTCCCAGCTCAGCCTCCTTACATTTACAACTATTCAATRTCTAATGACAAATATATGTGGAAACTGGGCTTTCTTCCCATTGTGGTTTCAAGAAAATATGGAATATTGGTCCAGTTTTTTACAGCAACACTTAAAAGAACTTWAAAAAAATATTTAAAAATACTTTAAAAAAGGAATTTTAAAAAGGCAGTCTGTTACTGCTACAGGAAGCAGTCACATCTCCACCATGTAATCGAGGTSTTTACTTCTCAGCCAGAATTTCTGCAACAAGATGTTGGAAGCACATTGTCTTTCCATCTGAAGCAGAAAAGCAATCTGTGCTTTTCTTGACCTACTGGCCCTTATAAAAGCATTCCTACAGAGATCTAAAGCAGTACTGCATCCCCTCAGCAGCGCCTATTAGTTTTCAGAAATAAAAAGGCCAAATATTTTTTACCAAATATAGCAGCTCTTTCCCCTGCCTTCTGAGCCACTGAATATTTTGCTGCCTTCTGCAGCAAATGATTTAAATTATAGACAAGGTCTGATTAAGGGTCTCAAGTCAATGGTGTCTGTKTTCATTTCGCTAAATACAACTTATCTCAAATGCAAATGTTACCCGATGTCAAGAAGAAGGGAGAAACTGTCCATTCACAAGAAAAATGTTCACTTTTATAAAGGACCATGTTCTTTTCCTTTTCTTGCCAGTTTACTCTTTGTGCTRTGCAATCAATGATTTACACTGTCATATATTGTTATAGTTTCATTGGAATTAAGCTTGTAATTTCATGCCACAGCAGCTAACCTTGATATAAGAAAATATTATAGATTTAACCCAGATTCCTCTTTGACAGATATCTATAAAGCATCTACGCTTCTATGGCTACTACCTTGTGCATAAGAGAAATGTGCAACATTACAAGATCTGGTACCAGTTCTTTATATAACTTCAGAGTTCTCTGCTGCCATTACAAAACCAACCAATTTTAGTTTTTGCATCCAATCATAATTAACATTCTTTTCCCTCTATTCTTTCAAGTACCTGAGTCTTTAAAAGCATGACAAAGTGGAGTTGACATGTCTTTTAGACCAGAAAGCAAGTGCACAGCACTAGATAAACCAAAGTTCTATGAAGCATCCAGAATGAGGTCCAAGAGGTGCACTTACTCTTCTCTAGGGAATAAATTTTACATAAGTGCTGTGATTGCTTCTGAGACAAATTGAGGCCTTTTCATAAATGAARACTACAAAAACTGAAAACTGTCTTTTTTATTATATTTCCCTCTTCTAAAGCCTTTAAAAATATAACAGAGTTTAACTGGACAGACTATAAACTTTCCTAAAGTACTTCCCCCCCCCCCCCCAAGGGATTTTTTAAGATAATTATAACTTTTAGACAAAATTTATCAAGTAGTTTTCTAATGATTAATGGTATTGGGACCATTTTTCTTCCATCTGTTGCAGACTTTGCTGGTCTTCTTTAAGGTCTGAATTTGCCGCAGCACAGCACACTGCAGAGGATATTGCTGTGTTTGTGCTCTGACTTTGCTTATGTCTCCTTCTCTTGAATTTTTAYGACTTTCTCTTTCTGATGTGCCAAACTCACTTTTGTTTTTAGAGASAGAACAAGGATTCAAGAAGAACCACTTCATTCCTGACAGAAGGCCATAAGGCTAATGAGTCAGAGATTGTGTATCTGACAAGACATGCAGGTCTATTTGCCAGGATAAAGAATGTAGATTTTAATATTTTCTCATAAAATATCTTCTTTTATTTTCCACACATGGCTGCTTGATCAGGTTTCACTAAACAGTSTTTTTTATTTCAGTCTTGAAGGAAAATTTTGTATCATAAATGAAACCTTGGAAGTCCTGCAGAAAAATCAGCCACWGATTACACTGGAGCCAGACTGAGAAGCAGAGCTTACAAATCACTGCTGAGATGGCCCAGGGTCTTAGAGTTGGGGTGGGCTGGTGAACCTGCTTGTATCCTGCTGTCCTGGAAGCTAAAACTGTAAATATTTAGCTCTTTGGTTCCATTTTAACCACAATGAGATCAGTCCCACTTTAATCCATGTTCTTTGACATCTTTTTGCATCTTCATTTTTCTTATGCAGAGAATTTCTGTCACTTTTTTCTTAATAATGTTACCCTAGATGTAAGAAACCACCTTAATCGAATGTAAGAAACATAAACTATGGAAACTACAATGGCATATATGAAATACCAATAAAGAAAACATGAAAAAAGTATTTTCTCAACAGTATTGCAGTGGAATATAAAACCTCTGTAAGAACATTTGACACTTGAGAAATTAAGATGCAAAGATATAGAGAAATTGCCTGCAATACAAAACTAGAGAAATAAAGCAATAAAGRAACAAAGGAAAAGTCTTCCAAGGACAGAAAGCATTTTATTAAATTTAAGGATACCAGCAAGGAAGGATTACTCAAAGACCATAAGAAATCTTTTCTTTATAAACATAATTGTCTAGACCTCTGCTTTATAATTTTGTGTCTTACCTCTCTTCCATTTATAGAAATGAAAGTTTTGACGAAATCAGAATATCAAGTTTAGTCAAGCTCTATTTGCATTGCAAGTTTGAGCCCTCAAGCATGGCATTTTTGTAATTTGCATATAATTTCTTTAGTTTCTAGAATTTTTTTTAATATTTAACCTCTTCATTTATTTCTCAACATATCTGCATGAATAGAAATACTGAATGCATTGAGAGGTCAGCAATCACAGTTCAGATTTTTCAATACTTTTTTGAGTCTTAAGGATTAATTAAATTCTGTGTGTCTTTTTGATGCTTGCTTCTTCTCACATTTTCTTTTTTTCTTTATGACTTGGAAGCACCAGTGAATGTGCCCAAGCAGTTGGGAAAATTSAGCTTACTCAGCTGCCTGTGCAAATTCATACAATAATGTCCAAGCACCTGTACAGCAATATTTTACATACAGATATTTCCACATATGTTCTCTTTCCATAGACAGAGCTTGTGATATGGCCCTGTAAAAGCCACTTACAGAATTTCAGTGTCTTTTCTGTTCTCACTATTGCCTTAAAAGGAAAATCCATACTCATTACCAGCCCTTAAGGTGTCATGTTAAGGTATGGCACAGATACAACAATTTTCAGGCATGTTTTTCAACTAAAAAGTCTCATTTTTGTTAGATACCCTAGTGGAAATTGGAAGATGATGTGACTTTTTTCTTCCCATTTCAGGAAAAAAAAGTCAGCTTTACTGTATGCTCTCCATTGTACATACTTGCAAAACTTCATTTAAGCTTCGTGTATACACTCGGGCACTTTTGTTTGCTATTCCATGATAATTTCACTTGTGGTTACTAGACTGTATTGAAATGTATGATGAAATTTATTTTAAAAATACTTTTTAAATGAGAACAATATCTAACACTCATTCTGCTTCTGTCAATGAGGYGTACTCCATTTCTGTGGGTTCAAAGTTCAAGCAGCAATCTCCACAGCATCAGTTCTTCAAAGCTGCATCACAAACTGTGCTATTACCACCAKCACTACTTAACCCCTCTGAAGGCAGACTCAGCACTCGAGCCAAACATGGAGCAGACAAGACAATTCCATCTCACAATGGAGCACTTTAGAGATTTACATCCATTAAGCTTTCAAAAACCTTTCCCATAAACCCTTAGACACACAGTACACACTGACTTCAAAAAACAAGCGATGCTCTTTACTTCAATTGCAGCTGGAATAATTTTATTGTTTTTAAGAGTAAGAAACTATTTTGTAGAATAATTATTTATTTACAGTTCCCCTAATTAAATGTTTAAGTTTAAACACCTGATTGTATGCTCAGGCAGAAYAGTACTACACAAATAAAACTGCCAAGTATCAAAATCAAAATAAAACAGGGCTGTGGCTTAGATGGATTTGATTGAATTTAATTTCACCAAATTCTTGCACAGATCTCATACAAAGAATAAACTGGAGAATAAACCAGCTATTAGTTTTTAYTGGAATTCTTATGTTAAAATATTTCATGAATACCTGAAAAAATTAATTAATCCTGATATTAAAATATTTCATCTCTTACCAGCACGAGTGCTCACAATGCCCTTATTAAACAGCYAAAACAAAACCTAAGTAGAGAATACATACAATTTTTTTTCATAGTTTTGTTCTGTTTTCGCATTGGGGCACCACATTGGCCTGAAAAGYACAATATTCTTCATGACAGCAGGTAATTTTGAGTTAACTGAACCCCCTCCCTTCAGTGCTGCTGCTCCCATCCCTCAGGAAAGAGCAGGAATTGATCTCGTGGCCAGTTTGCAGCCAAACCCTCTGAGCGCCGCTCGCAGAGCCAAGCTCAAACCTGGAAATCTGCAGTGCTAAAARACAGAAAAACAATCACTTCTTAAGAAGTCATTCTTTATGAGACTATTTCCCGTTAGAAAAATATGCTTATTAAACTCCTTGACAACCATCCTGCTTCTTCCAAAGGGTACTTCAAAAGCCCTGTGCGTCCTTGATTGCTGTCCAGTATTTCAGCCTGCCATCTTTAACAATTCTAAGAAATCATTCCCTCAAGACAGATGCTTCTTTCAAAGCAATGGAGTGCTATTTATGTTTGCCAGTCATCACAACCTTCATGAATTCAATTCTGCAGGCAGAGTTGCCAGGTAACATAAAAACTGGCATCTCATAATGAGAAATACCTATTTACTTTTCTAGATGATAACTACAGGAAAATCACTTTTAACTGAGAGGTTAAACTCAGCAGCATCTCCAGAATACTTTTAACAGAATACGTCTTTTTAGAGACAGAATGGTTCTGAATGCATCAYCACATATTTTCAAGAGCTTTTTTAAAGGCATAACATGCCCAACTAATCTAGTTGCCTTTGGCAATGGTCAGGATTTTAAGAAGGATTGCACTGGGATAATGGAAGCTCCTTTTCTTAATGTTATTGCAGGGGAAGGGTAATCTCCTGGTTAAGACAAAGTATTAAATAGCAGTCAGGATAGCTCAGAGAAAGCATAGAGATTCCTAACTGTATGGAGAAAACAGTGTCACATCAGTATACATAGATGTTGCTGTCTTCTTCATTTGAGAGATGTATTATTTACATTACTGACATCTCAGTGGAATGGCCTGTCCAGCCAGTGCTGCAAACCTTTCCTTTCTCCCTTCTTCCAGTGCTAAATAAATGTGCACTTTTTGCAAATCACAAGAATTATGTGAGAAAGAGCTTGTCAAAAAATTGTTTCCTGCCAAAAAACCAAAATTCCACAAGGGTTTAAAAAGGATGAATTATGACAAATTCTAACATGCAAAAAAAAGTATAAAAAATTTCAATAGGAATCAAAATCTTCTTTAAACATTTTTGAAATATTGATACAAAACATTTTGAGTAATTCTGTGATTTTATTTAACCTCGTTTTATTCATTTTTTAGGTGTTGTTTGTTTTGACAAAATACCCATTTTCCAGCTCCTAATTTCACAGCATGTTGGACAAGAGTAAGATTAGTATTTTGGATTTTCTGAGTTCCATCCCTGTAGCAGTTCATCTCAAATACCTTCTTTTGTAATATTAAAGGCTACGTCTTTGCAGGATTAGAATTAACCAAGGAATTAAGTTTGAGATTTTGTCAKCTGAAGAATTCATACTGGATTTTTGTCAAAATTCATACATTATAAGCAATACATATTTAATTACTTCGGCTTCCTGAAAAAAAATCCACAATTTTGCAATGAAGCTTTATCACTTTTGTGTTACAAATGACTTAAGGAGGACAAAAGTCTCATTCTCCCTTACAACATTCCACTTCCATGCCTTAGAGCTCTTTGCTTTCATCTTGATGTAAAGATCAGGACAGTCTTAGTGGGATTGTTCATATATGTAATTCTTTGAGAGGCAATTCTACAGAGCAGCCACTTGGATAAGAATATGAAGCCTTTGAACAGAAGATCTACTAAAAGTGTAATTAAAGGAGATTTTGCATTACGTATGTTTGCTTCAGTATTTTCTATTTGACAGCTGAAGTATTTYTTTCTGCAGTCCATATTTAAATGTRTTATRAAGAACTGTGGSGTTTTTGAGTGATGGCAAACTATTTGGCAGCTGTTGGGAAAACTACAAACTGTAGAGTATCTTAAATTGCTGTACTGAAGAATGGGGTTTAGTTGTATTTTTGCAGTGCATGAAGTTTAATCTTTAGCAAAACTGGACAACACTCTGAAGGAGAACAATTTGGGAGACAAGGGAGGGATAGAAGGGAAGAAAGAACTTAAAGCATAATGAAATTGTTTTTATATTTAACTATCACAGTTTGTATCAAGGAACTACTGAAAGCACGAGAATTTAAGGTATTTGACTCACAACCCTAAAAGCACATTTGTACTAATGAATACAAATGCACAGGTCATCTCTTATGTGCTTTTATATTGGGATAAAAAAATCATGAAGGGCACATTAAAAATGCAAGTTTTAACTAGGAATTTCGTGCAATTAAAGTGGTTTTCATTAAAAGTCTACTTATCCAGACATTCYGTAAGGACTAGGGAAAAAATTATTTGAAATCCAACCAGCCATTAGTCTGACCTTTTGTTTTAATTATTGGAGAATGTTCAGTAGAAACATTCATCTTTCAGGTGGAAAATTAAAATTCTTTGACCCTCTTTTTCGGCTGCTGTGAGCCATTTAGATGTCACCTGATGAATTTGACTTCTTCTAATGAGGAAACACAGGATAAGAACTGGCCCTTATTAGAACATACCTGAGGCACTTAACAGGACAACAGCTCAATCTGTAAGCCACAGTACGTAGTTCAATACCTGCCATGTGAGAAAGTTTAACACCTGGATTTATATAGTGAGTACATCAATTTCCTTTTTTTACTTTTTCCATCTCTTTGAGACAGTATTTCATCTCTACAGCTGGTGTTTTTTGGTTTAATTTTTGTTTGCTTTAGAACTTAGTTGAAAAACTCAAGAAGTTTTTACAGACAGATGTTCATTCTCCTGCAGAGACTGGAAAAACAAGTACGTAGGTTGCTAGAATTTAGCAATGCATTTTTTCCCATGGTATACCACTCTTTTATCTGCAGAAATCCTCCAAGGGGCAGAAAGAAGCAGKGTTAAAAATCACATATTTGTCATCTTTACACTGAGGACAAATTTCAAATTTMATTTCAAATTCATTYTTTTCAAAGAAAGCAYATTGTATATTTTTCTCAGTTCGTARACAAGWGTGCCCAAAGTTTTAAATTAGCATCCTTACCTATTCAATTAATATAGCTAGACATCCTTTACAAAACAGAAAAGCAAGATGTGCCCAGGCATGAAAATATTCATATCATATTTACTCATATAATTCTCCACTGTAAGAAAGTTACAACATGGGGAAGATTACATGATCAAGTTTATTTCTGAAAAATAGATCCCCTTTTAACTAAAAATGTATGCCTGCTAACATCATTATATTAGGGTTTGTATCTTGCTTTTAATGTGATCTGCTTGCAATTGCTCAGCACTCTAACATATTAATACCCATCTGCACCACCTTTCAATAGTTTTTTTTTTTTTCCTGCTGGGAAATCTAGAGACCATTATTTAGGTGGTACATACAAAACCCACCATGTAACCTAGTTTGTTCTGTGTCAAATACTGGTTTCCATATTTCGAGYTGAGTTGGAAGTTTAAACTTTCCATACCCATGCCAAGAATAAGAAAAAGGAAAACAAAGGAGGTGCTTTGAATCAGGACTGCACTCACCTAAGGATGTGACAGAGGTGCCACAGGGCAATTCTCTTGYGTAATGCAGAGCAGCAAGCAGCTTAATTTATGCTGGGATGGGTAGCATTCCTTTTCTGTGAACATGCATTGGGTTGAAAAGAGAAATACATTGGGTTTTGCTAAGGAATCCTGACACACTGGATRGTCTGGTGCAGGGATGACTAGCCTGACATTACAACTCTGGGATGTAGCAGAGCAGAACAGCATAACTYCACTGCACAGCTGAGGATCAGGACCTTCACACATTCAGAAATACATGAGTGCCTTGGGAATCTTCCTAGCCAGCTCCAAAGCTRTGCCTGAGCTGGCTGAACACGTCAATTCTTCAGCCAAAAACAGTAGATATTTTTTGCTCCCAGAGCCCTGCATTTATAATGTATCAGATTTCTTTACGTATTTATTGTCATTCCTTGTAACTGCGCTTAGATGTGAAAAGACAGATTATTGTTTAGGGAAATGAAAATGAGCCAAAGTCCTTGAACAGCAAAAGACATTTCATTGGTTTTTCTCTTCTAATCCAAGGAAAAGGCAAAGTAAAACGACCTGTCTCCTGAAAAACAGGTATTACCACATGCCAAAAAACATCCTTCACTAAATGTAATATCATCAATGGCAACAATTTCACCTTCTCTCTAGGTCTCCACTATCCCCCAAAATATTCCTAAAGAGATTAATAGCAAATCAGTAAGAAGTAGAATTTTTCACTGTCACAGACAAAAAAAAAAAAAAAAAAAAAAAAAAAAAAAAAAAAAAAAAAAAAAAAAAAAAAAAAAAAAAAAAAAAAAAAAAAACAAAAACTTACAGTATTTGCCAGTCTAGTCCATGGAATTCCTATTGGAAATATGAGAATTCCATTCATGCATTTAACAATTTTGGAGGATTATCATACTGTTTTTTTTCACACATCTATGGCTTTTCACACAAGCACATATATGTAGTCCAATCATCTAACTCTWGATTAAAGTCGAATTTAACAGGAAGGATCTGAAAATCACAATAAAATGCCTTAAAAYCTAAGTAAGGATCAGTTAAAGAATGAAGCACAAAAGTCTTTGAATTTTATCAAGCCACTGTCCCACCACAGACTGGAAATGTGAACATTTTCTGGTTGACTTCAGAATTCTTAGAAACCTGGAGAAAAGTCAGAATAAAAAATACCATTATTCATCCTTTCATCAAGTTTTCAGCCAAAACAAACCTTAAGGAGTACTTGGTTGACAGTTATTCTGCTCTAATGTAAAAGAAAAAAATTTTTTCCCCTCTATCAAAGACTTCTATACACAAGTAGTTACAAATATTTTACATTTCCATCTTAAGGGTAGATTTCAATCCACATCCATTTATGGATACATAAATGCAGAGACTATCACAGTTTTTCTGCTGTRGTGTACAAGGAAATTGACTGATCAATCACAGACCTTGGGAAAACACAACCAAACACATACCAGTCAAAACAACCCAAYACATCAATCTTGCCAATAACATTTCTTAAATTATTCTCTAGCCACATCTTGGGGTGTCACAGCTCCAGGATTTTCCAGAGTCTTGGAGGCACAATCTACCTAGAGGTACATTTTAGCTCTTAATAATGAGTTCACAGTGCTAGCAATAATTTTTCAAATATTACCTCGAGAGTGCAGCAACAATATTGCTCATAGTTTAACAGATTGATGGAGAAGACCTATAAATTATCAAGAATTTAGCTTTTCACTGTAAAAAATGACACAACTTATCCAATGATATGACCATTATGTTATGAGYTGGAATCTTTTTGAGGAGTGGAATCTTCTGTCTCTTGTTTGTTTTTCTGAAGTTSCAGTTGGCTTGCATATGAAGAACGGCAGCCATATCATATTCAGAAATATGTTTGTATGAGTGAAATGAAGCATCTTGGAAATTTTCTCATTTGATTTGTTTCAGAAAACAGGATTTTGAATTCTTGAATTCTGCTGCAATGATATGTGTAGTTAATGTGYACTTCCATGACATCCCACTAGAAGGACAAACAATTATTCATATTTTCTGTTTCTATCATKACATGGTTTCAGATAAGTTTCTAAAACAATATAGTGCACTGTTTTATAATTAGAAGCACAAGAAACATTATCTCATATCAAGTATTTGACAGATGTTTCACCTTTGCACAGTGATGTTTATTGTAAATTCAAAATTCAGTTATTAATAACTTTATTTATACTATCTACCTATAGCTTGCAGTTGGGGTTTCATTATCATAATTTATTATATAGTGAGATAAAATGATTTAGACTGTGTTGAAGAGGGACTAKTTCAATTTGCTAATGCAAAATCAGGGGCTGCTCCAAGTTTACATTCCATCAGAGCACAGGAAGTCTGTAGGAACCTGTGTTTGCTCAAAGTTCATGAACAATCTCTCAGCTTCCCCACTTTGAGAAGAAAATATTGCTGGATGCCTCCAGCTGCTCTTGGGTTTGAAAAGATTATCCAGGCTTTATCTGTGCAGGTACCCAGCTGACTTCCCCTGGGTTCAGCCCAATAATAACCAGACTCACACCCATGTTTGCTCCAGCAAGGAAATAATTGTTTTCCTTCTCACACAGAGTATAGAGCTCCTTAAACTCACAAGTCAGTAATAAAATAATATCTGCTTAGAGGCACTTTTTGCTCATAACTGCAATGAGCTATACCTATGCAATATCTATGAGCATCAGATAAAATTAATGAGCWGGGCTGACCTCACAATGCAGCTACAGGGATGGATTGCCAGAACAGCAGCAAAGCACAGGCTAAAAGAGGAATCAAGCACAGACACAAATGAACCCCAAGCCTAGAACCCCTTCCCTCAATCAAGTCTGGGAGATGGGAATTTGTTCTCATTGAATCAGAGGAAAAATATTCAGGAGAGCAAACCATTATATAGTTCTCCAAAACCTGGCCAAAACAGACATACTGAGCTTGTTGTTTGTTCAGTAGTAAAACCAGTGGTAATCTCTGTATCTCAGAATCCTGTAAAAAGGCATTTCAAATTCCAAAACAAAATTCTGTACCTCATAAATATAATCCAGGTTCTTAGTAGGAGGAGACTAAGTACTTAAGTATTAAACAGCCTTTATCAAAATGAGCAAAAAATATAAGCAGTGGAGATTCAGAGGTTGATTTTTATTTAAATCTCTCTTCTCCTGTGTTTTAAAATTGACAAAGGTATTAAAGCACTGTATTTCAAAGTGATTTGTACATCCAAACAAAAGTTTTCTCCCATCATTTTTTTCCTATTGAAACATTAATAATCCAAATTTTATTTGAAAAATGCCACAGATATTCCTGTAGGCTAAGTATCTTGTCATAGAAAAGAACAAGTGCAAAAGGGCAAGTAAATTGCATTCACCTGTGTGACAGTGACATCCTGCAGGTTGTCACTGGAGCAAAAATGTGCAAACAAAGAAGAAAATTTGCTCAGCTTCAGACTCCAGGTTTTGTGAGGTGCTGTGCTATATTTCTTAAGCCAATTGTAATGATGACTGAAGTAAATTTGACACCTGCCTCTTGAAAGTGGACTGTGCCCATCAGCTCACTTGATAGAGGCCAAAGGATAACTGGGTTTGCAAGGAATAATTTAATTAGGACTCCATCTAGCAATTCAGAGGAAATAGATGCCATGTCATATTAACCATTCCCAGACTCAGTCAACTTTCCAAGTAAYACAAAGGTTAAAAAAGTAAATCTAAAAGTAAATCCTTCCAGTGCAAACTCTGATTGCTACACATACAAGTCACATCAGGTACAGGTAAGCTACAGAACAATAACAACACTGATACTTGAGTTGGGTACAGGTATTTTGAAATATATATTCTCAGAAGGGTTGAGCAGGCCAGTATGACTTCAAAAACCAAGATCCTGTTGGATGCCTTGGCGCAAAATATGCAGTTCGAGTTATTATGGTACTGATTTGATTCATTGAAACGAGGTTGTGCTGCTGTGCCTTCAGGTTTGTGTGCTAACCAAGCTCATGGTAATTTCTGTAGCAGGAAACTCCTCTCATTTTCATCTCTGCTCCCCACTCTCTCCAGCATTGTGCACAACAATGGGTATACATCACCCACAGTATTATAGCCCTAAACTATATTTAGTGTGTTAATGTTCTTTGTAAATGCACATGTAAAAATATTTAAATAGCCTATGATGTTTGCATTGCTTTTCAGTAGCTTTGAGCAAAATAAAACAATATGCATGCATTCTGTGACAAAGACTCGAAGCTACAATTAATAGTTTATTGTTTGTCACCTTCAGCAACCCCATAAAACAGTATTTCATAGTAYAAAAATATGTTTCCTACATAAATCAAACCTTGAGTTTATCAGTCCTTTTAGACTGAAGCTAAGGGAATACTGCATTGAAAGTTAAGATCACAAATATATCACCTCTGTGGGCTGGTAGGYAATTTATGACTCAATGTGAGTGACTGTTTTATTTGAGACATGCACACAATTTAAGCAAATTTTGTTGTTATTTTTATCACCATTAAGAGATAAGAACGAACTGTATTTGTTAATGCAAACTATGATCTTTAAAATTGCTTTTTTCTCATTTACCTCATGAAAATGCCTTCTTTCCATTTACAAAACATTTAGTGCTGATCTATTAAAAAGGCCCACACTTTATAACCCATTTAACAAGTGTCCTTTACAGTAACCTCAATTTACTAACCTCATACTTTTCGGTGCTATTGATTGTGATGGTATTTACATTCCACGGATTTCGCAGTTCTCTTGAAACTTTCCAAATATTTGTAACAGTATCTTCAGAGTGTTTCTGAAGCCCCACCATCAATGTTCCACTCGTTTGATGGACCCAATAATGAAATTTAATCTAGGAAAAAGAATAAGGTCTTGTTATTCCAGGGAAATACTGCAGCAAACAATGTAATGTAAGGAATGTGCACCAAAATACCTGGCTAACGTGTTCTTCATCAGTTGAAGGAAAACATTTGTCCTTAAAGATGGAGAAGAGGATTTCATATCAGAGGACAATGATAGGAAATAAGCTATTAAAAGGAATAAAAAGAGATGTTAGATGTTAAAGGATGCAAGAGGAAAAATAAAAAAAAAAAAAA